GACCGACTGAAAACCTAGCTGCTTTCACCCTTCACATGGCTCTTTAGGTTTATTCAAAAGAACAACGTCGTGACGTCACAATTACATGTCATCACACTCAATAGTAACGTGACGTCACGAAGTACACAAGATTGGTGGACAATTTTGTGTAAAATGTTAGTGTGGCCTGTTGAGACTTGGTTTTAATATTTTGATTAGTTGGTCTTCTTTCGTTTCTCTTAAAATAGTGTTTGATGAAAATAGTTGATACAAAAGTAATACATTAAATTTATCTCCAGCACATTCATGAATATGTTTGTTAACATGAAGATTTCGTAAAGAATCAGTTCTAGTTTGTTGTCTTTGTACAGTCATACGTGTTCTGAGTTCATTACCGGTTTGACCGATGTAAAAATCACCACATTTAGAACAAACTATTGCATCAATTACATTTTTTGATTTACAATTCATATTTACCTTCACAGTAAATTTCAAACCATTCTTGAAAATAAAAGTATTACACTCGATAATCGTAGGACATGTAGCACATCTTGGTGTCTTTCATTTGGATACTTCTGGTGTTACACATGAATTATCAAACTTAGAACATGTATTACATTATATATATATATATATTGATGTTGTGTGAAATACAGTCCTCTTTACTTAATTGAAAAAACAAATACGAAAGTTTAACATCACTACACAGTATGAATAATTGCTTTAACAATATTTCATTATAATAAAAAATCAAATTCAACGGGTTCAACCTTAGTTATTAGAGGGTGTTTTATTATAACTGAAACGTTTAATTTAGCTGTTATACTTACTGGGTGTTCACTGTTAAAGATTGCTCGCCTGGCAATTGGACGTGTTACCAATTATTTCACTAGTTTTAATTGTCAAATAATTTCGTAAGTATTATCATAATTGAGTTTGCATCCGCTTACACAAGCCAAGGTGGCTTATGACATGTAACTTTGTCGGGGTAGTAATCCTGTAAAACCACCTTTTCGTTTTGTTCTTATTTTCCCAAGTTTCTTGGTCAGTCTATTTCAACTAAACCTTGATCCGCAGAAAATAATTCCACTTTGGAAGTTTGGTATACGAGTTCATCATATCACTAATATAAATCAAAAAAAAAAAAAAAAAAAAAAAAAAAAAAAAAAAAAAAAATGAACCCGCATACATGTACAACAATCGTAATGAATCTTCAAGGTAAATGTTTCATAATTTTCAAATGTCGCCAATAAAGCAAATATGGGCAGATATAATGCTCCGGTATTTTATGTATACGTTAAGGGTTAAGTACCCGAAGTCGCCATTGAATGAGGCTATTAGAGAACAACATAATCAACGTATACTACCCGAAAGAGTATAACATATATGTAGACTGTGGTAAGTCCTACATTCTGTACTGTTACATGCAATGAGATGGCACCATGAAACAATGACGCCTCAGACGCAAGGTCCCACAACAAAACAAATACAATACAGCTGCTGCACTCTCGCATGCATAAACACATGTGAAGGTATTCGCCAGGTGGCATAGGGCTGGTAGTTTTCTCCTGATTTAAGGCGATTCCTGCATATTCCGCCGCAAGTCGCGTTGACTGATAAAGTTAACTGTTGTATGCATTGTGCATCTTTATATTGCAAAGCACTTTACGGTTCCGTACTCGAGCTGGATAGGGCCCTGTGTTAAATGTTGTATAAATGTGATGTTAAAATCTGTTTTTGTTTTGATAGATAACAATAACTATGGACGGAGTAGGATCCTACTACTTGGACGCTAATGCGTGGATAGACGATGCGGACTCCAAACTCACGTTTTTTCTACGGTCACGTTGATGGACACTGGTATAAAGGTAACTTCATGGTTTGTAACAAATGGCGTCACCTATGCATGAACGATCGTTTGGTCGTCTGATCATCCATTACAAACTGAGTTGTCGTTGTTCCCTTTTCGCCAAAAGAGAAAAAAAAGAACAAGTTTTTTTCGGTTTTTTTTTAATTGATTTTTTATAATTGATTTATTTATAATATTCGTTGTGAGGATAAAAAAAATGAGAATGAGAAGTACTTTCTTTGTTAAAGAGTTACTAATTATCCTGGAGAGAATACCATCATAATATTTATTTTCCATTAACGCGTCTAAAACTAAGAATATATGGATGTACCTGATAGGTGACACTTTGTCAATACCCCGATATGTAATTAAGATAAAACGAATAGTCTCGCATAATACAGGCCGAGTATTCAGGTCAAGAGGATGTTAATAATTAAAAAATAGAGGAAATATCTGTATAAATATTGACATCTCGTAGTTACTATTGTTCTTTTTCTTTCGATGTACGTGAGTAAACAATTTGAATTTGCATCTCGTTACTTTGTTCAACATTACTCTTAATGACCTTATTTGGTTTAACTTAATCAATACAGAACGCCGGTCGGTAGACCTTTAAGCATATATTCTTATCCTCTTCAATTCCATGCCTTGTAACGTCATCATTCGCACTGAAGTTATAATCTCTATCAAACGACTTTAAATTTCATTCCATCGAAAACTTGTGAGATATTAACATTTTGTGCTATAAAGGTGATCCTTTAGAGCTTCACAAAATGAAAATTATGTTATTAAGTAATGATTGAAATAGAACTACACCAACATCTTGATATGTCATTCATATATTGGAAAATTTAAATATTTGAATGTCATGGTCTCTGTTTACGACCGAACAATACAAAATATTACAAATCTGTATGGAAGATTACTTTTAAAATGTCTTACACAAATATTTCACAATAGTGACAAAGGTTATATGACCTTTTAGTTAATTAAGATCGATGCTGAATGGAAGATCATAATTTGATGAGACTTGGCCAAAGCCATTTTTTCAAACGCCACATCACCTTTATTGAATATTATAATACAAACATATATAGTTAAAAAGACACAGGGAATAAATGATAGTTATGCAAGAAAAGTACATACATGTGTTCACAACTAAACGACATAATAATTATTGAATGTGTATCGCACTTGAGTCAAGTAAAAACAAACAAATATCTTTATCCAAATATAAAATACAATTATCTGTTTTTATCTTAATAGTAGATGTTTCTGTTTTGATAAAAAAAAGCACACGCGTTTAGATGAAAGTAATTGGTTTCAACACGAAGACGTGCTTTAGATGAAGCTATACCAGTTATGATAGAAACTCGTACTTAGGTGAAGTTAATTGGTTCTAATAAAAACTCATATTTGACAAATAAATCCGTGATGGTCCTAAAATAAATAAATCAAAGAAATCAAAAGAAATCAATACCTGTTCCAATGCAAGTTCGTGTATGGAAACGCCACGCCCCGAAGAAAAACTCGATGTTTATACAAAAATAATACCATTTATTCCGTTTTTTTAAACAAATAAAAAACATAGCGGTTCTAGTACAAACTCACCATTATAGCAACAGTATGACACGTCTATTACAGATAAAAAGCAAATACAAATTATAACACGAACACACCATATTACTGGCTTAATACAAACAGAAAAATGCTAATATTATAAAAACTACAAATACAATATAAACTGGTTCTAGGAAAATAGAAAACATATCGGTTCTAATTAAAATGCACTTAAGTAGTTTGCCTACCAATTATGATACAAACACCTGTATTAAGAGGAAAGCACACAAGGTCTAATACAAAAAGCAAACTGGCTCTCTTACAAATAGAGCATACACGAGTCTTTATTAAAATAAACAAAAAACTATCTTAGTACAATAACATGCAATACAAAACCGATCTTCAAAACAAAAGGAAAGTATTACGTTTATTTTTCAGTATAATTCAATATCAATACAATAAAGCAATGATAGTCTAAAACGGAATTTCATGGAAACACTTTCATGCATTGTTTTCTTATTTTTCAGTAGTGTAAATTAGTACTCAAACATTCGGATTCTGCTTGTCTAATATATGTCTTTCCTGACTCAAACACATCGTGACATTTTAGTCTGACTACTGTTTTTTCATACCAATGAACCAAGGTTAGTTATTTGGATATTAGTTTTAGGGTACTTACTTTTTCTTAGTTATTTCATTTATTTACTGCTTTACACAGAATTTTCATGGCTCCTTTATTTAATTTTGGAGAGGTACTTGTTATTTCAAAAGTCCCTTAACGCATCGATGTCAATTTTTAATTGATATTTATTTTAACCTCAAATTTCTCTTTCTATTTATTGAGTTTAAGTACGCTGTTTTCATTTTTTTTTATTAAGTTTGGTTCATTTCAATATCTGATAACGAAATGTTTCAGTTAATTCCACAACTTCTTTGATTTTGTCTGTAAATATGTGAAGGGTTTTGCTCTTTGCGTTACGTTAATAACACCTTTACCTCCATACACATTGTAATTAAAATTAGTTTGTTTTAAAGACATATAGCTGATGATTTATTTAAAGGACCGATGTAAACCTATATTCTTAATGTTACTAACCTACGGGGTCAATGCAAATTCTAAAGCAAACGATTTGAAAAGTTTTAAGCGCAGTTAACTGTGTTTCACCTCAATACCAAACACTATGACGAATTTGATTACGTTCATTTCAAGAACTTCCCTTAACCCCATTTCCTTAGTAGTAACATATATGTGTCTACCCTTATTATGAGTGTACAATTTGTCTTAATACGTTGTGACGTGAAAAACAATCAATATAACTGATGTCAAAAATAGCAGATCATGAAAAAAATCATTAATATCTACTTGAAAAACCATGCAATCTACGCTAGTGTATCATGAAGTCTACTCTTTAAATTGAAGTGACAACCGATAATATTCTAAGATTCTAACCCAGTGAAGCCTCAGGCTAGAAAGCAATGATCTTAGCCCTTGCGTTTAGATTTTTCTGTCCTTCTTCAATAGTGGAGGGAAGATTGCATTATCATAAATGTTTCGTCCACATTTTGAATTTGAAACTAGGCACCTTTCATTGCTTTTTCCGTCTTGCTATCCTTAGTCTACCTCATGGAGTGTTTCGTCGTTGTTTTCGTTATCATCACCAATGACGTCATCAATATCAAATCCGTGATATTCATCAGGTCCAGCGACTTCCTCCTGGTCGACTACTTCCGGTTCAGTGACATGCTCTTCATATGATTCAGCATCCACAATGTTAGCTTCGTTTCCTTTCGAGTCATTTGTTTCACTGATTTCATCTTCAACTAAACCATTGTTAGCCTCGCCACTAGTGTCTGCTGTGCCAGCATCTTTCAGAATGAAATTTACATCATACATATTTACGTACTCAGTGACTTCTCTGTTTGTATTGGTGTTTGAGTTAGCTGCCTTCACCTTGTATACTGTCTTGTTGGGTGTACGTCTTACGCGAATGATAGTGATGATAGCAAAAAGCATAAGAGCTACTCCAACAACGACGAAAATACCGATAAGGACAGCCACAGGCAAATCGCCATCATCAGATGAAATAGCATCCGTTGCACTAGGAGTTTCCACAACGAGAACAAGTGTAAAATTGTCAGACGTTTGATTGGTCGAAACACCTTTTGCCTGTAAAAAATAAATAAATAACATAAAAGCTTGACGGAACCCTATAAAAATCCATAAATCAAAGATGAAATAATAAACGCATTAAAATTTGATTGAAAATACACCTCGTCATTGACACAACACGTAAGAATGTTTATATTCATCTTGTTTAATGGAGCAAGAAATATACATTCATTACCATAAAAGCATCACTGAGTAACAATACATGTATGTATTTTTTATATGGTAAAATTCATTTAAATTATATGGATATGTAATCCATTTAAATTATATGGATATGTAATCCATTTAAATTATATTGAAATATAATAACAATCCAATACTCATTATAGGATGTTTCCTTGTAAAACTGTGTAAAGAAAAACACCTGGTAATGTCGATTTTGGATTCATCCATGATTTATAATGAAGTGTTATATAGTTTTTTTCAAATAGTCTACAAAATAAACATGAACGTAAGTCATAAACAAAAGCTAGCACAGCAACTCATAACTAAATGCTTTCAACAACTAAATTAGCAAAATATCTACACGTATTAAAATGTCTGCTGCATATCGGTGATAATTAATGAAACGATTTACCTTTATGCCAACATAACGTGAATTATTTATATGTATACACTGATAAAGTGAGGTCGCATTAAAACATACATATAAAAAAAATGAGACCTACGCGTTTAACTGGCCGTAAAACAGAATGAAAAAATATAAACAAAATGTCGGATGTTTCGCAAATAAAAGGAAATAAAATATAATAAACCAATAGCTTATCATACTTTTTATGTGTTTTGTGAAAATAATCATAGAAAATGTTTTAGATGTCAAATTAACTGACACGAACATTGCTTGCACACTTACCTCAAATTACAAGCAGTACCAGTGACGTCACGGTGTTGTCACAAATGGAGAAGACCGCGTGGCATATGACGAACGTCTCTTATCCGATTGTTGTCTACATTTGTAGATTATGTACGCAGTGATAACAAGTAAAATTATAACACCTATGGCGACCAGAACGATCATAAGAGTAGTGGCTAAGTCTTTATATTCTGTATCTGCTTTGAAAAGATAAATGACTATTTCAGTTGTCGTCTTTGTATATAATTTGGTAACTTCATCTGTCGACCGTTGTTCATGAGTTGTCGAACCTTCAGTAGTGGTATCGACGTCTGTAATTGTACTTGTTTCGGTAATATTCGTCTTTAGGTCAGAGGTCGTTTCCGCTGCAAGGTCAAAGGTCGTAGTTAACTCTGTAACAGCTGTAGTAGACGCCATTGTTGTAGGAAGGGTGGGATATAGTATCATAAATGTCAAGGTCATATTGTCCGATGTTTGATTGGTGTGACTTTCTCTGACCTACAAAATAATATCTGTGTGGTAAAACAAATGTAATACAGTCTAAAAATGTAAATAAAATAAAAAGACAAACAGAAAGACTGTCTGTCTGAAAAAATAACCTTTCTGCGACCATCTTGTATTATTAATGATTAACTAAAATGCACGCTGCGAAACTCCAATATGCTACCACAATTTATCCAGGAAAAAAAATGTTGGTATTATAAGGGTTTTTGCGATAAATCGAGGACACGAATGAAAGAATTTATATAAAATATTACGGAACCTTGAAATCTTGTATTATGCGGTATGCATGGCAAATGGAACAAGGCACTCCATATCAATGATTTACTGTATGCTTTTTGTTGGGAAAATACAGAATGGCTAATTTTCCTTTTTTTTATGAATTAAAGAAAGTTATTGAATTTTTCCTCCTCCCCTTCTTAACCCTCCCCCCTTTCGTTGTTGGATGAAATATTAATGCATCATGATAAGCAAAACTCACGTTATATTTAAACTAATAAATAGCTACTCCGGATATTTTCTTATGGGACATAATTGACCTGATTAGGAAGGTTCGATTAAGTAGAAGTCCCTACCCGAACATGTTCAAGTAATACATACATTATTTTTAAATAAATTTAGGTAAAAAGGGGCAAACGTGTCTTTATGAGGTGTAGATAAATAGCCGTTTATTGTCCATGCACCGCCAAATGAGAACAATCTCCCACAGCTAGTCAAGTATACAGGTATATGTCATCGATAAGCGACGGCACGACCCTGCACATAAATATTAAATTTAATATCAATTTATATGAACTTAGTAATCTAAGTGTAGTACAATTTAAGTTGTGGTATGGAAATGAGATAATATGAACAACTTTATTTAAACAGTTGCTCTTAACTAGCATGTAATTCATAAAATAAAAATACAAATACAAAACTCCAAAATGGCAAAAAACAATTATATTGATTTTTTAACTAAAATACCATCTAAGTTCTATATTGAATAATCTATTATATAGCCTCACGAAATGTTGTGTCATATTCTAGCAAATAAAATCAAAATATAAGATCACACAGTCTGCATTCTAACCTGTAGGAAAATGTTTATACTGTCTACGGTATTGGTGTCATTTCCGCTGTTCAGGATATTTGTTGATAGCTGGAAAGACACTGTGCCATTATCAGCATCAATGTCGATATGTCTCCACAGGAACTCAGGATTTACTACAATCAAAAGCAGAAGTAAATATAAAAATGTAGTATAAAAAAAGCAAGCGAATTCCGTTTATGATTTATTGTGACAAAAAAAAATTACAAAGAAAATAAAGCAAACCGAATTTAAGACTAACGAACTAGCAATTTACTTCATTGTCAAATATTAAAATTCGTCATACCTCCTACAATTATGTATTCCAAATATGCATCTGCTGTATCAAAGTCTTTCGCCAACACATCGAAAGTAAGATTCTTCTGCAAAGAAAATTTAGTACGTTTAGAGATACGTTAGATTTCCTACAGTATAATTAAATTAGCAATAAATCAAGGTAAGTGAGAACATTTTTTAAACATATGTCGCATTCCTTATGATTTCTTCCATGGAAAGCAGGAAATTTATTTCCTCACCATTGATCTGATAGAGAATCTTATAAATAGATATATCAAGTCCTTTGTAGTTTTTTGTGTACTAAGCAGTTCAACCGGTTTGACTAGATATGTTACTTTCTCGTGAACTTTTGGCAAAAACATTCAATGCATTTATTAACTTTTTAAGGTCCGTAATTTTTTATCACCGAAAAATGTATATCTAAAAATAGACAAACCAGTCTGTCCACACAAACGAACTGGTCCGTGTATTGGCGAAACCCCCCATATTTTGTTTCGATTGTCATAGAATATGGTAAAGAAAATTAAAAATGTACAAAAAAGATACCAGTAAGGTATCATAAATGGTCATAATTATAAAGATCATGTGTAGAAAACACGAAAAAGAGTGGTATATCCTGACAAGTGATGGGAAAGTTAATTACGGAATCAAAATACAAATCTACATCTGATAACAATATCCAAGCAACACAGTTCAGACACATCGTAATGAAGGATGATCAATGCAATATCTTGCTCTTTTAGGGATAAGTAAAAAGAACCGACCAAGAAATTTCATTGAATATCAAATACTGTTCTCTCCTCTGTCAGGAGAATCTGCCAGTCGCATGAAACATTTATTTCATCTATCTTATTTTGTGACATACGTATTTATACCTTTATAAATTGTTAACAAACATCACCAATTTGTACACAAAGTAATTGTTGTGTACTTCATTTTCAGATGAATACCCACAAATGACGGAGAGGAGCTGGAATTACCTGGATGTCATTTTCAAGATGAATGGTGTGCGATTGTGATGTGGATTTGCAGAGAGAAATACATCGATCACAATCTTTGAACTTCAGAAAGATCGGCGGTTCATCGTCCACGTCAGCGAACGTCACATTTCTTGTCAATGGTGATTCATTCTGGCGGTTATCTTCTGACTACAAAGGAAACCGAAAAACAAGAACAATAAATGGAAAAGAAAATAGTTATTGTTTTACCGTCAATCGGTGCGTTCGACTGGATTTTGTCTATTTATCATATAGTTTCATTATTTAGTGATGTTATTGTTTAATAAGCATTTAAAAAAGGGAAAATACTGTATACAAGTTTTTGTTTGTTTTTAGAACTGGTGTTTGACCCTTTCGTGGTTACTGTGAAAAAACAGTCCTGTGAATGTTTGTGAAATGACATATATTTTGCTGCAACACGAAAGAATTTGTTAAAAAATAAACCTTTTAAAATGAACCAGTACTGCTTTAAATTTTGAAATTAATAAAACAATAAAAAAATAAATATGGGTTGTTTTATGCACCTTCCCTTGACTTTTAACAGTAGTTAAGACCTAGCCTATTTCGACTGGTCCCTAGCATCACCGTTGAGGGAAGAAGCATATGTATGATGCATTGCACATTTAATTTTTGGCAAATGTTTAAAGAGACACCTGTGTGTGCGCGTTACGTTAACATTTCTAAAAGTAAATATATCATATTTTCTAAAGGAATTCTCTCACTGACATAGTTGTGTTTTTCTTCTTTCTTTTTCGTGTCTATATTGATAAGCTTACACAAGAAGATGGTTTGACTTTTCTGGTGTACTACTAATATGCCTCAAAAGTTCGTCGTAGCCTTGAAGCTAGATTTTCTTTTTGACACGGTCTAATGAACTACTTGTTGAGGTATATATAAATTTTAGCGTTGTAAAGATTTCCACAGTCATCCTACCCTTTTTGCTCTATTATACGTATACATGTATTATTGAGAACGGCAGACATTGTCTTCTTTCTTCTGACACAAGAACAACTAATGAAGTCATAAATTGACGTAATTGCTATTATTATGGTACATGTACAGTAAAATGCTAACTTTGTTTGGCGTTCTGCATCTTCAGACAATTGTTTTAAACAAACTATTTTTTCTTTGTAATTATAGTGTTTATAGTAATGATTTTAGTTTATTATATAACTTGTAAACAAACTGCTTCTGTTTGATTGCGAGCCCTTTATCACAAACTTAAAAGATATGTCATTGTCACTGAATTTTTGCCACAATCCGATAATTTTCAAATTCCAAATAAAGAAATTGGAAAAACCCTAAATGTTTAGGACAACTTTTCTGTAACGGAATTCTTCCTAATATAGTAAAACAAGTATGGACTTTTTACAAGGTGAATAATCTGCGATATTAACCATACAAGAACAAATATTTACTTGCATTCATAAAAATTAATAATTGTATAAAAGTTTTATCATTTCCTATGCATTCAGTTATATAGTGCGGATTGTTTGAAAATACAGATAACAAATAATGTAAACATACTTATTTTAGCGCACTCCAATTTTAGCGCATTTACGAAATTTTAACAGATTTGCGCATTGCATGATTAATTTGCGGGCAGCCGCAAAATATTCAATAGAAAACAATATACAGAAGGTTCCGATGGCACATTCATTATGTAGCGCAATTTCAAAAGCGCCAAAATTAATGCGCTAAGATAATTCTGCCGCTAAAATACATACGTTAACAGTGTGTGAAGCACGCTGTTATACTTACATATACTATCAATTGGAGGTAATTAGTTCCACGTTGGCTTTTAAACACCGGTTCACAGTACCGCTTGTCGTAATCAAACGGACGAGACAAATATACCTTTTTACTGGTAACATTGTACGCAAAGTATTCACTAGCGTCAAGCTGAAATGAAAGACATTCACAAATAATTATAAGAAGAAACGGAATAAAACAATTAGTCCCGAAAATTCGTTTGATTTTTTTTCTAACCATATTATATTCATTTCTTTCATATCATAGAATCCCTGACAAAAGACCATCTGATTCAAACTTGCACTTAATGCAATATTAACCGCTTTAGTTACCTTATAACTAATTCTGTTACTAGGTGATCAGTAGAATTCGCAACATTTTCGTTAACATTACGTCTTAAGGTAATAGGATTGTGTCACCATTTCTCAGTAGAATTTCTTAAAATTTTATAGTATATTGCTTTGAAGTAAAGAACACTTTCTGCCACAAACAAAAATATATAGGTTATCAGAATTTGAAGGGTTTTAAATGGAAATTTATGTAAAAAAAGAGTGAATATTGAAAAACAAAATGAGAGATACAATGTTTTGCAAAATAAATGTCAATAAAAATAATACTGACATAGATTAGTATTGCATTAATGTATATCAATTTAATAAATGCTGAAATTGTGTAAATAATTGATTACAAATTTACATTTTATGATAAAACCATATGCACATAGTAATTGCATGTAAGAATTATCTTTCTTGAAAAACTTCACAGTAGTGAAATAGTATAGGTAGCCGGTTTCCTGAAGTACAGAAAAATGGACACACATGTGACTCATTGATAAAAAACAACCTGAATTAATGCCTGGATTGCTTTGAAATATTTTAATATTGAGAGAACACACTGTTCTGTCAATAATAAACATACAATATTCATCTGTTTAATATTAAACATTAGAATATGCGGAAATTGTGATACCGTCTAAATCTAATATTTGTTATTCCTATGAGTATGACTTATCTTAAAGATTTATGGAATTAGTAGAGAATGTTTTAAGCAGAAATCTTTTTGTTGTTGTTGTTGTTGTTGATTTTATTTCACTTTTTTATATACGTTCCTACCTGTGGAATAGTAGCATAAGATACCACTTCTATATGATTTCCGCCTTTGTAGCAATCCGCGTCTTGGACTGCTCCATCTAGATCTAATATCACTGCCCCAGGTAAATCACTCTATGCAAACAGCAAACAAACAAATAAACAAAGTATTATCAGTTTTAATTTCACTGAGTGAAACTATCACGGTTTTGTTTCCGGAAAAATTTACGAGGCTTGCATTCCATGCAGCATCGTTCATAATCAATAGACTATCAGAAGGTCGACAAACGAATTAACAGGATTTCTATTCGGCGCCATTGTTTAGCCCACTAGCCATACGAAAATACCAAAAAAGGACCAACATTGGTATTTAAAGAGTTTTCATCGCTGATATTTTATTTTTATAAATATAAACTGATATTGACATTTTGCCGATGCGATCGTTTGTAAGCCTTCACTTCTGCAGAATACTTTACCATCAATTTTAAGCCGAAGGTTTCCTGTCTCGATGCATATAAAAGATATAAATACCAAAGCAATAGTGTGGCAAATAAAATAATATAACATACCTCTAGCACTTTCAGATTGTTTTGTACAGTGCTTGTTATCCATTGAGGTTGGAACTGGTCCAAATATTGAACAGAGATGTTCATCGACTGCAGGAAAAAATACAACAGTATGCAAATAAATAAGTAAATTATAAAAAAATATACAAAGAACGGCCTCAAATTACACAACGCTAGGAATGTTTCTCAAGTGACATTACGTTATATTGAAATTAATTTGTGCCTTTGTTAAGTCATTAACACTAACTTTTTTATAAAGATTCAGGTACCTGCTTTTGAGTTCCACACACAAAGTCCAATCTAAAGATCTGTTCCTTTTGACAACCCTGAAAACATTAAAAATATTATTTGTTGTTTACAATGAATCACATATGGGAAAATTAAATATATGATCATACACTCAAGTTTCATATCTTCTGGTTATCAAAATATTTCCACACTTTCTTTCATTTTACTAAGACTTATTTAGAAATACACAGATATATCCACATTGGTCGCCTCTCACAAATCATTCAATGGGACACAAGGGTTTAAACTGTCCATGGGCATGCTAAGGTAGGCCAATAAATATTAGACCACATAGGATGTCACAGTATAATACAGGAACATTGAAGTTATAACGAGGAATGACCAAAATTAAACTGGTATAGTAGACCAAATGTTGGTTTCGTCAGTATCCTTAAGCAGAGGACAATGGGCGAATGACTATGAAGACTGCACGAAAATGAAAAGGTAGAGAAGTAAGAAGCGAAAATATATAGATCCTAAGAATTGCAATGGGGGCAGCAGATTAGTTAGTGTTTCCTTTATGTTTCCTGCGCAGAAGACATGGAATAAAAACCCCGATTCTGCATTTGGCCGTACTTTATTCGCCTCTTAAGATCACACATTGGAATACAGTAGGCTTATTACGTCTTCGAATCTGCAGAGTGACACAAAAGGAATTCTCTCTCAGCCGGTGGATTAATCGCTTCGTAACCAGATGGATGTTAAACAGCGTGAAATCTGAATAAAGATTTTACTTCAGATATTGAGTGTTGCAACCTTTTTACAGGTGATCGGGTTGGTTTATGAGAGAATTGCGTGCTGGCATTTACATCTCACACTTATACGTATTCTTGCTTATTTTTTATTTATTTTTTATTAAAAATGCACATTACAAATAAATTATATGCCAGATATGGATACTTACCACGATAATCTTGGTTGCTAAAGATAATTTATAAATGCTGGAGGAGTATGGAAACTTAAAATGATCATGCGGGGATAATTTCCATATATCCGTTGCCGAGTCCGTTATATTGATTTCCAGAATCACTGTCTCTGAAAGAAATTACCGAGCGTTAATATTTTTAGTAGACATACAATGATAAATTCTTACATGATATACTAGAAACCTACTCCAACAATGTTAGAGGTTTTACACGGCGAAAAACTTTTGACAGGCGCCGCGTAACCTCTAACTGCCCATAGCTGATTTTCCCGATGCTGACTATCACATTTTCAAAGTTCGGATTAAGAAAGAGTATATCGTGTTTACATACATTTAAATGGTCAAAAGGGTCCAATAAATATTCCTTTCCATAAATCCATGATTATATGAGAAAAATTTCATGTCAAAGACATAAATAATGAGTTTTTCCTCACTCGAAGCGAAGCAGACAGCATTTGCCATGATTTTTCCGGTTAATACAAAAATGGATTACATGTAATGTTTCACAAGCGGAATGCAAACAAACTCCGTATCATTTCGTTCCGTTTGAAATCCCCCCTGATAGTTTGTATTAATCCAGAAGTCATGTTTTAAATGTAGGTCAGAGATGTGCTACAACGACATGGACATGTATTTTGAGTGTTCTATTCCGTAATATACTATATATTTGTGTCTGTGACATATATATGAGATCTATATTATATAAACCGTGAGTAGACATCGTTGTCATGAACTGTTAACCACTTATGTGAGTTTTTCAAGCCGATTTTGTTCCGCCCGGATTTCGGGCGGAAACTGCATCAAAGAATTAGTGCTTCGGAAATGAGAGGTCGCAGTCGGTAAAATCATATCCGATTGAAAAAAGGCCGACCAGCGGCCTCTCACTGTTATGGGAGTAACTAGAAACCCTGCTTATCTTTCCGGAACACCTTACTACGTCTCCATTTTTTTTTTATTTTAGTATCTTCCCAGTTGTTTTTATTGCCTTTCCGCACTTTTATTGGATAGGTGTGCTGATGCTGTTATGTTGTTTGGTTAGTTAGTTGTAATTTATTTAGTACTTCTCTTTTTAATTTTGTTTTATAGCAATATTAAAGCTAACTTCAGAATGTCTTCGATATTAGCAAACTTACCCAAGCATATACAGGCTCGATATTTTTATTTATCATTCACTTCACTTTCGATCTCTATGAAATTTTATTTTGAGTATGATAACAATGGTTAGCTAACTAGCAAACTCCAGGGCATTTACCTACAGTGTAACAATAAAAGTGCATTTATGATAACTAAAAACTCTATGGCATTTATTATTAGTATGATAATATTGGTCGCCTCGCTTCCAAACTTTTAATCCCGATAAAATGTGCCTACATTTTGACAAAAATAATGTCACGACACTTACAAACTCTGTGACATTTACCTACAGTTTGACAATAATAGTCCTCTTACTAACAAACTCTGTGACATTTACCTACAGTTTGAGAATAATAGTCATCTTACTAACAAACTCTGTGATATCAACCTACAATGTGACGAAATGTCACTTCAATATCAAACTATGATTTTTACGATAATATTTTCCCCACTATAACTCTGACATTTAATTATTGTCTGACAATACTGCTTACCTTACTACCGAATTCAATGACGTTTGCCTACAGAATGACAAAAATGGTCACTTCAATAATAAAATCTATGATATTTATCTAAACTTTACGACAATATTTCCCTCACTAACTCTGACATTTACTTACTGTCTGAAAATACTATTTACCTTACTACCGAATTCTTTGACATTTGTCTACAAAATGACAAAAATGTTCACCTCAACAACAAACTATTTGATATTTATCTAAACTTTACGACAATAGTTCCCTCGCTTACTCTGACATTTACTTACTGTCTGAAAATACTTTTCAACTCAATACCGAACTCTATGACATTTGCCTACAGAATGACAAAACAGGTCACCTCACTTACATTCTCTGTGACATCTACCTTCGGTATGACAGCACTTGTCACCTCACTAACAAAACTCTAACAGCAATCTGTACAGCATGACAATACTGATAGCCTCACTTATGTGGCGTTTACCAAGAGTATGACAATATTAATCACCTCACTTCCAAAATCTGTGGCGTATACCTACAGATTGACGATAATAGTCAGCCATTCCCTTCTACACTATGAACAACGTGACGTTTTAGGTCACGACAGTATACCGATGGTCAGTTCACTACAACAATATCCTACATTTATCTAAAATATAACAATAATGGTCATGTAACTTCAATACCCTGTCACAATTACCTACTGTGTTGTCAATGAAAGTCACCACCCTTTCCTCCAATATGTATGATGTATGATGTCGTTTTTTATATATAAAAAGTCAGGAATTTAATTTCATTACATATCATTATATTTATGACGTTGAATTCATACACGATCTCTAGTACACCTCGTCTCTAAAATGTGTCGATGGCATATTAGTCGGAATACCAATTAACATTGAAAACGGACTGCTGTCTATGTTGGGTGGCGCTAGACTGGAATGATGATAACATCATTCCAATCCTGTGGCGTATTCTTGTGCTCGACCTTTTGTGGAATACATGTAAATATGTTTATGCAACATGGTTGACATTTTTGTTACCATGTGTGCCATGTTATTCGTCATTTAATAAAATGACATATTTTATTCATTGTTGTTCTTGATGTATATTTATCCAAAAAACTAGCTTAATTCGTGATCGGATGATCGTGATGGAGATTATATAGAATAGATCTTGGTCTTGTTCCTCTTGTACTTTTTCAAGAGTATGAACATACACCTTTCCTGGCTCATTCACTTCAATTGTTTCATCGACTTTCAGGTCAAATAACGGTTTTGTTTACACTTTGGTATTCTCTTGTATATTTAATTGCACAAAAGACCGAGCGCTTTGCGAAGGAAATTTGTGTGAAAGATTTAAAAAAAAAAGAAAATGTCTGTAAGACATAAATGCCCCCGCTACCATGTGAAATTAGTTTCAGTGTTCTATAAAAAGTTACAACTGATTTGATCTTGATATCCTGAAACATGCACACACACACAAGGTACTACACTTAAAGTTGACAAGTTTTTTTTAATATTCATATGTTTTTTCCTGTATGTTATTACCATCCTGAAACACAGGGATGTCAGAGGTGGCCCATATTTGACCTTGATATAAAGTTTGACCAAAATTCGTGAAAGAATAAAGTTGCTAAGTGCTTGAATTGAATCAGTTGATGCTTTTCTATAAATAGCAACAGTGACCTTGGCCTTGACCTTGGAACCCTGAAACACAACAATGTCCGAAGTATACACCTCATAATTGACCTTTGCATAAAGTTTGACCAAATTCCGTGAAGGAATGAAGTTGCTAAATATTTTAATTGGATCAGTTGATGATTTTCTATATATAGCAACAGTGACCTTGGCCTTGGAACCGTGAAACGCAAGGATGTCAAAGGTATACCCATATTTGACCTTTGTATAAAGTTTGACCAAAATCCGTGAAAGAATAAAGTTGCTAAGTGTTTGAATTGAATCAGTTGATGCTTTTCTATATATAGCAACAGTGACCTTGGCCTTGACCTTGGAACCGTGAAACGCAACAATATCCGAAGTGTACTCATACTTGATCTTTGTATAAAGTTTGACCAAAATCTGTCAAAGAATGAAGTTGCTAAGTGTTTACATTGAATCGGGACGGGACGGGACGCGACGGGACGGACATGGGCAACACTATATCCCCCCCCCCCCCAAAAATTTTTTTTTATGGAGGGTTGTACCTTTGTATAAAGTTTGACCAAAATCTGTCAAAGAATGAAGTGTTTACATTGAATCGGGACGGGACGCTACGCGACGGGACGGGACGGAATGGACATGGGCAACACTATATGCCGCTCCCCCCAATTTTATGGCGGGGGCATACAAAGAACGATAACGTTAGACTTTTGTCATCAGTAACGATTGCATACTTGTCATGGGAATTAGATAACAAATTGTTGATAGCAGAATAAAGACAAGCTTGCGTGTTTTGACATTCATAATCCTGCCAGAAGTTATTAATTGTATGTGTATGCAAATAAAGCTCTGAACCAAATGGCAGAAAGCATCCTCAATTTAACAAGGTGGTTTTATTACAATTTTAAAATGTATTTTATTCCGTAATATTTTGAAAAAAAGAAATAGGAATGCTATTGTGTAAAATATTGTATGTTTTGGTTTCGATAAAAAAGAAACATTCAGTTAATGAGTCTGAAGTATTGTAGTGTTTTGAAGTAGTAAGAGAACGTTATCTCCACAGAAATAGCAATTGATAAAGAGTTATTTAGTGATCGTCCCACTAACGTAGCATTAACAGCAAACGCGTAGAGAACAAAGCAATCATGTAGATATTTCAATAAGTTAAATATATACACAGTTACACAAAAGGTCCCAACCTGCAGGGGTCGCTTCCGATATTGATAGGCTGTCCGGAAATGTAATGTTACTGCATTCTGAAATACAAACAAGAAACCTTATTTAAAACTGCAATTTGTAAATACTGTGCATAAACAACATTCATGAACAGTAATGTCGTCATTTGTATCACTTTTCTTTATGCACGAATATTGTACGGATCAAAAATATTGCAACATATCAAAACTGACAGGACCCTCTGTCAGGCTATCCATTGTCAAACTGTACGATAAAAAGTTAACACAAAGCCAGACATCGTACCGCCCTACTATGAAATCAACACAATATATGGGTCAAACTCTTCTACAAAGTATTTGATACAAAACTTTAACGTTAAACTATCCTTAATGTAAAGACACAAACTCAGAAATCGATCTGTTCTATAAATCGTTCGACATAAATTAAATGTCACACTGTTCTACAAAGTATATTTGACTAAAATCTAGACGTTAAACATGTAATACATGTACAGTGTGTCAACTAAAATGCTCCCGTAAAACTGTCCGAAAATTTTGCAAGTCAACACAAAACTATAGCCGTCGAACTGTCCGAAAATTGATTCAACACAAAACTAGGCGCACAACTGTAAAACAGTTAAGTTGATGGAAAATAAGACATCGTCGTTAAATTACAGTAAAGTTGATATAAAATCTAGACGTAAATTTATTCTAAAATAAAATGTAGTTCTAAATGTCAATTCAGATTTTAGATTAGACGTTAAATGATTCTTTCGTACAGTGGGTGGTAAACTTAACGTCAGTGCAGTTGTTAAAACACTAGACATCATACGCTTTTTCAGTGCAGTTGCTACAAAACGAAAAGACAATTTCTTCTACGTTGTTATTGATACAAATCTAGACGTCAGACGGTTCTACAATGTATTCAACATAAAACTAGACGGTGTATCATATATATTGTATTCAAAACAAGACCTCAAACATCATTTAAATTATAAGAACAACTCTATTATATGTTTAGTTTAAGTAAAATGCCATTTACAGTATCGATAACTAGACTAAAAGACAAGCAGTATAAATGCGTATATGCATAGTTTTAATAGATTATGCATATATGCATTGCTGAGTAATTTTGTGTCGTAATAATACATATTTATATATATATAATTGATGAACTTACCTTGACCGATAGTTAGTTGTAATATTACACACAAGCAAACAGTCACTTTCTCATAAAATCTAAAATCCATTTTGTTTTGATTTTTTCTCGATAAATAGAAAAGAGTGTACTAAACTTTTTTCACACTGGTTGGCCGTACAAGAATATCAAACACATACTCAATCCTATCCCCTAACAGCACATTTCAATGTAAGAAGTCACGTTGAGCTCCACTTTAAACTTGAAAGAATAAAAGCCCAAACGATTTTACCTATTGCACTGTATCAAAGATACGTTCACATACGTAGATCTGAAACAGATTCCATTAAGTATTGTATACTTCATAATATATGTGTAATTTCAATATCTGATTAGTCAATACTATACAAATATATATATATAGAACTCGCAAATTATGATGATGCTCCTTTAAGATATTAAACCATGATGTGGTGCCATCAAATCTAAATTTGTGAGATGTATGAATTTAAGAAATATATTTTTAATTTATGAAAGCTGACAGATTAAATACTTACCTGTAACTGACACTGGTAAAGGTAGGATTACAAATTGCACTAGATATCAATGTTTCCTGATAAGTCTGGTACATAGAAGTATTGATTAATGTTGAAGTAGGCATGCATGATTCAATAAATCCTTCCATACCGAGATTACCGCTGGCCAAGCCCTCACTCATTTGACATTTACAACCCTTATCGCTAGATGTTCAAGTTTATTGTACCGAGTACTACGCGACAAACCCCATTTACTGTTGTCATATTGAATGATGGATTGCATGTGAAGGGAAACCATTGTAACAAGACAACTACAAGAATAAATTTTATTATGAACTTGTATGTTTCACATGTTGTTTTGTCATTTGTATTTTTTTTTTCATTTCTAGAACTATTAAGCATTTTTCTCTTATTCTCAACTTGATGGTCAGAGAAATAACGTACTTATATAGAGAATAATACATGTTTTTTTCCATATCACACCCAGTATCAAACCGAGACTGCAATATCAGCCCGAGGGCTAATATTATTCGAGGGTTGATACTGGGTGTGATATGGAAAAGGCATGTTTTATTCTGTTTATTACATGCTTACTTATAAAAGCTACTATCATCGTATGATCTGTATTTCTTTTGAAAATTGAAAATTGAAATGTTTTTTCAAAAGGGGTGTGATACGGGTTTTGCAGGCTGATACGGAGAGGTCTGATACGGGTTTTGGGGTGTGATACGGCGAGGACTGATATGGGTTAGAGCAATTGTGTCGTATCGCATATACAAAAATACAGTATTTATTAGTAAGTATGTAATGAAAGTGTATAATCAACGAGACTTTTGCATATTTGGGATTACTCACTATTTATACATATATAGTCTACACTTGACTAGACCTTCTACATTTCAATAAATAACGCATTGCTGAGTAACTTGGGCCGGTATATTGCTATGTAAACCAAGTCATTACATTACATACATTACATATATTCGGTCAATTCAAATAAAAACGAGGCGTTGAGTTGTGACGTCATTTTCCTTCATCGGTGTCGTTTTTGTCAACTATTCTTAAGTTTTAGTTTTCGAAAAGTAGATTGAATAAGTAATACGAGGTTATGATGGGTAATGTTTTGTAGAAAAACAAATATAAATGTAATGAGAAACAGCGGTACCATTAAAATTGATGTAATATAACACATCATATTCCAAGACTTTATTATCAAGGGGCGGGTAGGACGCATGAGGCAACCATGGTAGCACGAATGCATTCGTCCCTTATTGACCAGCAGCTGTATATGGTGGGAATATTAACCGTTCCCATGTTAAGATCGTTGTCGTACTGCCGGCAAACAATACAGAATTATATCGTTGTTTTGCCTGTACACAGTAGCCTCATTTCTGGTTTGGACAATGGTACTTGTGCTGATCAGGATACAATGCAGCTGGCTAGAACGATCAGAGGTTCTTTTTCTTTATTTCATATTTATTTTTGTTTTCATGAAAGTTTAACAAAATGTGGGTATTTTTCAGAAATAATTTATTACAGCTTTTGTCGAGCTAATGAAAAAGGTTCCAAATCATATGTACTTTTTTGGCAGTGGTACGGGGGTCTTTTAAGACCAAGAACCTAAGAAAGGTGGTACAAGGTTAGACCCCGGTACGATTCTTGATAGTATTATTGTACTAATCTCTTCATGCCCAATAATTGTAAAGATGGCAAAGGTGCAGATATCTTAAACTCTTCCACGTTTTGTCTCAGAGACTACCACTCAATGGGTAGAGCTGGACCAAAGTGCCAATCCTGGTGACATATATGTATTCATTTCTTCATGTCCAGTACTTTAAGATAAAGGTTAAAGGATGAGGGTCCCATCCGTTGCCATGTTTCAACCCAAGCTCATGTCCCCTTTAGTGCTGTAGGACCCGTGTAGCGTAGTTGTAATTGTCTTACATTGTTCAGAATGCGTGCATAGAGTTAAAGAATGGGAAAATCAAGTTCGTCCCTGCAGTGGAGATGCATCCCGGAGCAGATTTGGGTAGCATTGATGCATGCTTTTGTTACATGTCTTGTTGCTTGTTGTTCCCTGGGTGAGTTGCATTATTTTTTTTCACGTAAGGGATGATCGCCTTGCCCACCTGACCGAATTATCACCTTGGTGATAATTCGGGAAGCCGTTTGGGAACAGAAAGCTTTGAAATTAAACGCTGATGACAAAGATGAATGCTCGACATCCCTAAGCTCCACCTGGTGAGCTGTACGTTTTTTTCAATAAAACGTAACTCATTTTGTTTATTAAATTATCTTTATTGTATAATTAACAACTTATTTTAATCATTATTTCATAACATCACTACTGTTTATTTCATCACAACAAATCAATATGAATCTGCTAAACCCAAATATATATAGCTAGCTTTAAAAATAGTTTAGATAAACATGAAGCAATAATTCTATTGATAGTGGTATTTAGGGGGGAAAACTCCACTTCAATCACGAGACAAATGTAAACATTCATATATCTGAAAGACATATTTTCTTACATCTTATAGAAATACATATGTTTCAGTGGTGTATCAGGAGGATGTTCTTTTGGCTTGAAAACATCCCCCTTTATTCCCATCCATGAAATGTTAACTATTATTAAAACCATGTTCATTTCCAAATGGTTTTTATCTTAAATGCAGTATTCAACGGATTGTGGAAAGTTTATTAAGGGCCTTTACGAGATAACTAATAACTAAAAATTTGCAATAAGACTCCACTCCGGGAGAGTCAAACCATTGCCTACCAACAAATTTACCAACATGTTTACTCACAAGCTATATGCATATATTATCTAACAATATTTTTCAATGTGAACTCATAATGCTGTGTAATAAATTTGACTCTTCAAACGATAATCACATAAAACTCAATAAAAATCACAAATAATTTGAAGACTTAAAGCAACACATAGGAAATTGTGAATCACGAAACATCTTCCTGGAACTTGATTAGCGATCACTCACCTTCTGATTGTCTGTTTACATTAAACATATCAACATAAACTAGAATACATTCAACTCTAAAATGAAAATAAGAAAAGAATTTAATTAAATAAAACAAATGTCCTTTAAGCGTCAAGAAAGCAAATTTTTGAAATATAGTTTGATTGAATGTCTATAATATTTTAAGATTTCATTTCAATAACCAACAAACATGAAACTTTCAAAAACGTGTTTTCCTTTACCCCAAGACATCAAATAAGAGTAACACAAAGAAATATTAGGGAAAATGCTGCCTTACTTGCAAGCTAGCTTTTCCAGTGGAAAGGTACAACCCTTGTAAATGCGTGTTTGTTAAGTATGGTCAGTGGATGGCTTGGTGCTCAATCATAAGTAATATTTGGTGGCAGCGGTGGGATCGTCTGGCACCTTATATATAATTATTATGTCAGTTTCTGGCTTTCAGGCTTTTTGGGGATGCTGTACAACCCTGGGACTTGCTTGTCAGTTAAATCTTGAACGTGCCAACATTAATTATTAGTTATGTTTATGATTACCTTCCTATTTACCAGAGGCTATCTTTGCAAAGGAAATAAGTTTTATTTCAAGCTTCATTTTGGATCAAACTTACAATGAACGATGTCTTAATTCTGGATTAAATATTTAATCTTAAAGCTTTTGGATTTTAAATGATTGTTAACAGGAGATGAAAACGCATGGCTAGACCAGGATTCAAACCCAGGACATCCCGAATCTAGACAGACACTCTTAACAAAGTGGGGTTCCTGGAAGCCGGTGATCGACCTGGTACAGTTCTACTACATTCTTCCTTCCTTTTTGTAAGTCAACTCCCTTGAAGACAACACTCATTTACAACACTGGTTCCGATATCCACTTTTTCAAACATACATATAAAACTAGAACAAGAGCTGGTCACTGTAACAGGAGAGGGAAATGGACAGCCACAGACTGGGTTTCAAGCCCGGAACTTTGGAACTCTAGAAGGATGCTCCAAACGATTGAGCTGCTTGGTCGCCAGTGATCGACCCAGTCCAGTTCGAATACACTAATAGTCTTAATTTCTGTGTATATTTATCTTTTTTTTCCTCATTTTACAAACAATCACTGTATAAATATGATAAGAATATCAAAATAAATAGACATACCTTCCTCTTTTGTTATTCAGTAAGTATTAGTCTGTATATAAAAAAATTAATTAATCACAGAAACTTTTGTTTATACTGATATTCCGATTAGTTATCACAGAGTGTGCATCCATATGCAAAAAAAACCCGACAAAGCAAGGCACATGTAAATATAAACTACTGATTATAGAGTGTCCTGTTGTGTAGTTCTATTTGCTAATTTTTACGGTAACTAGTTACTCTGGCCTGACTTTTCTGCTGTTTATACATCCTGAAAAGTTATTTTCCTGTTAAATTTGTGTTATTTCATCTATATTCATAACAAATATGCATGAAGCTGCAGGCCTTTATAAATAATGAAAACATTTTGAAATTATTCTGAAAAACGTCACGTAGATATATTAACAAAGACTATGGCTGGTGACAGAGCGGGTTTATAATTAAGAGGTACCGAGATTAAATCCTCATGGTGGAAAAGTTTTTATGGAAAAGAAAAATTTGATGATTTAGTTATCGTCAGAAAAAAAAGCAGCAAATCAAATTGGAAATCTTCTTTGTTTGAGATACACTTGAACAAGCAGAGCTCTGGAACTCTCCACCTTATGTGACTTTCTTCATACAGTAAAGAGTTCTATATCCTTATCACATTTGCCTTATCTTACAAGTTGAAATCTCATAGAGAATCACATATTGCTCTGGGTTTTTTTCTTCCATAGTTGTGTTCCGTCTTTTTCCACACATTCTAAAAATACAGCAGAAAAAATATGTTTAATAAAGTGATAACATTTTACTGACAAATTAGGTATTTGTATTCAGTTTAGACACTTTACACTTTTGAGGGCAATGGATACAATCATGTACTAATCCATCCACTATACTCCAGGGGTTACGCTCACTTTCGCTCTCTGCACCCCTGGAATATGTCATTGCAAAACTGAAGGCTCTGTGTGCGTCACCTTGTGAATGAAACACGAAGACTAGTTTGATCCTTTAATGTACATCAAAAGGATCTAGCAGTCTCATGACGTTAACATTGACTGTTTTTGAAGTTTAGTTTCCTTTGTAATCGTCGAAAGACAGGTATCATGCCTTTAATTGTGCTATGATCATGATATACACATGTATTCAAGGGGTTCAAAGGGCAAAAGTGAGCGTAACCCCTGGAGTATCGAGGATGGTAATAATCATTAATACAATAACATTTTGCTGATATCTTTGTCAAACTTTTATTAAGAAGAAAAATGTTTTATACAAAGATGTTTTCAAATTTAGGTCTCAGATTCAATTATAACATGCACATGAGCAAGTATAGTTATTGTAATTGATTACAAACAGTGGTCGGTTTCACCCATTAAATAGGCATCTACATGTAGTACAAAATTACAGGACATTTCTACCACATGAAGTACTAATTATAAATAAAATAGGAAATCTGGGCACATATGCCTTATTATATAATGACATCAGGAATTGTGACGATATATAAATACAATGTACCTGGGTTTGTCACAGCAGTTTAACTTTTGCGTTTTTCGCTCTCCACAGAGGGCGAATAATCATTACAGGTAGACAACATAACATGCATACCAGTAATTTGAGTCAAGGGTGAAGTTTACACTGAGCAAAAAAAAAGAGTTTTTGGGAGGAGGGCGAAAATTTCACTGGGCTAAAAGTCTCTGTATATATATTAATGCTATATAAATGATGTCTATGGGACCATAATACATGTACTTATAGTTAAGTTGGATTATTAACTCTTTTTATACTGAGAACTGTCTTCTGGTATAAGTAGTACAGAGTTTTAGCCAACTGGTCTGTTGTATTTAAATTTGACATGCATCAAGACAAATATATTTATACACAATTCAGTATATATACATGTATTTCCCTTGTTCAGTTTTAGGAACAAGGGATTTTTTGAAGACTTTATATACAGGTATATTACTGCAGTTGTTTGTGCTTCTAAGTTAGAGGGTGACTTCACCTGTACATATTATGGAATTCACAGGCATATGGAAAAAAAATCACTCTCGTCTTTACCAGGGATTTCAATCAAGTACAAAGTACAGCAATGATTGGGTCTGTCCCTCACTTAATCCTTCCACCACTGTAGACTATAATGGACTCACCCAGATAAATGTATGGTAGAGTCTACTAAAGTTACCTAGGGGTGAAAGGGTTAAGGCCATTTCTAAGTACTTATTCTTTAACCTTTATCAATAAAATATCATAACTTGAATAGAAATGGAAATATTTAAAGCTATTATGATGTGAAAATAACATAGAGATTTTTAATCTTTACAATACTAACATATATATATAATGAATGTTTTAGCAAATGTTGTTATGGTTCTATAACACAAATTGCTATTGATGACAAACTTAATAAAGCCTGCTAAGTTTGTCAGCAATAGAAATGTGTGTTATAGGATTATAACAATATTTGCTAAAATATTTATTATTTATATTAACATTTTGATAGAGTAGTTATGCTTTATTTAGTTATTTCGAACAGTTTTTGACCAGTAAATCAAGTGTTTCAAATGAAATTGATGACGTCACAATAGAGATTGATGACGTTAAAATAGCAAATGTTTTTATATTACAATGGAAGGATGCAGAGCAAATGTAAATGTATGTATCTCATAGTTTTAATTTTTATGAAAGTTTTCTTTAAGCGTAGCCACATTTGTGGCCTCACAATAACATCTGAAAAAAACTCAGTCTTTTTTTTTTTCACCGTGAACCTATTTATTTTGGTGAGAAATCAATTTTCGTTTTAATTGACAATGAGAATCATTTGTAATTTTAGATCATCCATGAATATTTATGAAACGAAGATAATTATTGAATGTTTACAGGTACATGGTTTTTTTTTTTTTTTTTTTTTTTTTTTTTTATACAAATTTTAATCCCTCAGCATTTTGATATTTTGATATTTGAAAAACCTCAGTCTAATGAGTCTGTCACAGCAAGACCATGTCAGTAAAAAATATAGTATGATTTCTTACCCACTTTTCCATCCTTGACTAACTTAAAGAGATGTTGACGAACATTATTGTTGGCAGCAAGTTTTAATCCATCAGCCAGACCCTGAAATTATTCAACAAATTGTGTATCAATATTCCAAAGCCCAAAAGCTCAAAATAACAAAGGCATTCTTTCTAAATTTTAATTTGAGTACTGTTTCAAAATTAATAAATAAACATCAGCATTAAATCTCAAAATCGCAAATGATTGATCATAAACAGAAAAGGAAATATTCATCAAAATGATATATGATAAAAAGACCACTTACTACGTATATTCTGTCTACCAGTTCAGTGGAAGTTAGCAATGCGTTGAGGTCTTGATCTAGGGTTTCCTCTATCTGCCGTTCTCGGGTAAGACGATGGGAGATGTAGTTCGAGATCTTCTCCATAGGGTCGGGGATTACAGGCCCGTGACTGGGGAAGATGACTGAGGGGCGGAATTGTAGAAGTTTGTCTAGCGAGGCCATGTAGGTGTGGAGATCCTCGAACATCTGAGAGAGAAAATAATCTATGGTAAAAAATCGAGCTCTTCTGACACTATCAATTTGCATAATAAAACTATGCCTTATATATACTCAATGAGAAAAAAAGTGTTCATATGTCCCCCTGTCGGAAAAGTGGGACTGTATTCACGAAACTGTTCTCATGCTCAAACTCAGATTCCGTGTTCAAGCCCAAACTTTTTGTTCCTTTGATAAATTCATAAAAGTTCAAATTTCATCAATGTTTGGGAAGAATTTCTGAGAGAGATATAAAGCTGGATACTGTTTTCATTGTTTGCACTTGACTTTTTGACAGTTTCACATGGTTTAAATGAGAAGAAAGTTTGTTTGAGCAGAGAATCCATGATTGAGAACGAGAACGATTTCATGAATACAGGCCTTGTAAGCCAATTGTTGGTCAGCTGAAGTTTTAGTTGGTACGTACAAATGTAGTAGAATGGGGTGAGTTTTGATAATTGTAAATCTTCACTTTCACTGAATTCAGCCACGAATGATGCTCATTGGCTATAGATCAATGACTAGGAAGGATTTTGTCACACTGACCACTGCTCATTAGTACACTGATGTAACACCCATCAATAAATTAGTAGAAAATCAAAAAGGTTTGAATACAGATAAATCTCAAATGAAATTAACCCTTTCACCCCTATGCAACTTTAATAGACTCTGCCATGCATTGATCTGGATGAATCCATTATGATCTACAGTGGTGAAAGGTTTAAGGGAAGGTTACTCTTGTTTTTGGCCAGTAGTAGGACAGAGAGGTCCTTCAGTGAGTCTAAGATGCCAAAACTTACCGCAGTTGTCTCCCCTAAGATGGTATCTCCCGAGAACATGGTACGATCCTCCTCCAGCAACAGAACAAGGTGGTCATCCGAATGACCGGGTGTAAACACTGCCCTGATTACAGAAACAAAAATGTAATATTAGAAACTAACAGGGAAACCCATGAAACTTAACAAATCTTAAAAGGGTTGTTAAACATTGATCACCCACAGAGTGATTGGATATCGACACAATTTCCCACTGGGCATGTGCAAACAAGCAATATGCAAAAATATTGCAGACTATTGGAAGAAGAAGATATATATATACAATGGGCAACATATCGCAGTGATGGAAATATTCTGCGATGTCATTTTTGTCTCCTTAAGCATCATATCATTGTACAGGTCATCACTACAATCATCTTTAAAATTCCAGGGTTTACGCTCTCTACCATCTTATATATTATTTTGCAACCTTCGAATATGTCATGATGAAATCGTAGAATCTGTATGCACCAACTTTAGGATCAAGTGCATTGTTATAAGCTGTCATGTTCATCAAAAGAATTGGCGGCAATAAGGTAAAATGAACCTGCTTTGACGTCAGGTGTGTATATTTTCTTCAAAAGAGATAGGTATCAGTCTAGTGAATTAGTCAGATTTTTCCCCTGAAACTAACGAAAAGGTTACTGTCTGCCTTTATTCTAAGGGTGCAGAGATTGTAAGTTAGCATAACCATTGGAATTTCAAGGATGATGGAATCTCGTGAGGGTTAATTGTAACACCCTCGCCTTACACAGTGTGATGGTATTTGTATGTGATGGCCAAATTGCAACAAACCATTGTACATCAAATCTGTCTATAATGTCAATTTCATCAACTTTAATTTGTCATCCTCAATATCCAGGAGTTAAGCTCACTTTCCCTCTCTGCACACCTGGAATATGTCATATAGCAAAATCGGAAGCTCAGTGTGTACCACCATGTGGATGATCGAGACGAGGACACTATAGCGTAATCCTATTGAGTAGACTAAAAAAAGCGTATTTAAGTACCTTGCTCAAAGATACAACACAGCGCGGTGCCGTGACTCGAACCCGCATCCCTTTAGTCAAGAGCCATTTTTAGATGTACATCTAAAGAGCCTTCAATTTTGCTAGGACATATTCAGGGGTGCAGTGAGCAAAAGTGAGCGTAACTTCTCGAGTATTGAGGATCATGCTCATCTGTAGCATCTTATGATCGCCATTGTATCACTGTACCATAATCAGTGTTCTCAATAAATTTTGAAATAAGTGGTTGACTTGAAAAAAATAGCCCGTTGAATGTTCCCATGCTATAATATAATACTAGTATTGACCTATATATACATATTCTGCAAAAATAGCTGAAATGATGCACAAATTATAACACGATATATGTATCACAGTATGATGCTTATAATATGATATGTACACTACATCACGATACTGCACATATCTGCTGAAAAACTCAACTCATATTGATTGAGTGCTTGAATGTTGTCATTCTCTTATAAATAGTAAATACTATCAAAATATATTTTTGCATGATTTTCAATACTTTTGGTTATAAATGCACAGAGCATGGGGACAACTCCTTTTCTGAAGGGTTCCAAAATATTATTCCTCTTTTTAATAAAAGATTAATCAATAATTTCAGGCAAACAAAATAATTTGATGCGATACACAAGAAAGTATCACAATTTGATAAAATCGCTGCAGCCCTAAAAAAATGCTGGTTCAAATTGTAGTTGATGAACTGCAGGCTACTTTTGGCGGCAGCAGGATTTTATTGAGAACACTGATATTAGTGGCTGTATCATGGTCAATGTAGCATTGTGATAAATAATAATAATCATAATCATAATATGAGGTGCTTATATATACCGCTTCATCACAACCTAGTTCGTAGAGCATCTCAAAGCGGTTCACAAATCATTATCTGTGGTTATAGGGCCTTTGCAATCAGCCAATATTTTTCTCAACTCCCTGCAGGGGAGCATACAGCCGGAGCTGCCATTTCGGCGCTCACAGCTAGCATTCTACAATTCTAGCACTGCCCAACCACATACTTATTTACAGCTGAGTAGACTAAAAAAAGCGGATTAAAGTACCTTGCTCAAAGATACAACACAGTGCGGTGCCGTGACTTGAACCCGCATCCCTTCGGTCAAGAGCCCTGTGTCCTACCGCTAGACTACCTTGCCTCCTTGTACAGGTTCTCAAAACCATCAAAGCATATTACCACAATCATCATCAAACAACTTTGGGACAAGACGAATGAACACACACAAACTTTTAGAAAGACTAACCGTAACGTAGCTCCTTCTGTTCTGAACATGGCATTGTCCTCCACATAGTTATAGGGAACACCAATATCATATTCTTTTTTACCTTCGGGTCGTCTAAATTTGGATACTTTTACATCTGAGGCTGAAACAGAAATTCGAAAGATGACATATATATATATACCGGTAAGCATGTATATATATATATGTGAATGTACACCCCATGTATAATATTAAGCTCTAAAGTCACTTTATTACAAAATGGGATATGACATGTTGGCATTAAATTTTGTTTGTTTGTGTTTTACATCCTATTAAAAGCTATGGTCATCTTATTATAAGGACCTGCCAGGTTTTGGTGGTGGAGGAAAGCTGGAGTTTCCGTAGAAAAACCACCAACCTACGGCCAGTACCTGGCGACGTCTAGTGCCCCATGCAGGTCTCGAACCCGCAACCCAGTGGTGGAGGGCTGGTGGTAGCAGTATGTCGGACAATTTAACCACTTGGCCACAGATTGAGGCATTAGAAGCAGTAATAAGTGTTGATGAAATTTCAATCTGCATAAATTAATAATACATAGTGCTGGGAACTTAGGAATCACTTCAAATTTGTTATCGATCATCACTATTTCTCAAACAATCAATGATTAATCACTGATTGATCATGAAATTAAACAAAAAACATACAGAACAATTTACAAAAATGGGTGAAATATTGTGGATACTTTTTAACTATGGTACCGGTACGTAGTAAGGTAGGACTTTTGTTTAAAAGTAGTTTATGGTAAAACTGCTGATTAAAATTATTTTTTTAATCAGTTTTTAGGTCTGTTTAGCAACTCAAACAACTTTCGAGAGTTTTCCTGTAATAGTAAAACCATGAACAATCAGAGAACTTTATGATTGATTTGTTATCTCATTCACCCCTAAAGACACATTTGAGCTCTTCCAATTCAAAGGTTGGAATAGTTCATTATGAAATTTCAGGGGTGAATGAGTTAAATGGTAATATATCTGGTTGGGGGTAAATGACTTATCATTGGTTAATCAAAACAATATTAACAATAACTTTTCAATTATTTTCAAAATTTTAATGTTTATAAAGAATCCAGTTTAACTCTTCTGAAGCCAACCAATGTGTAACTTAATAAAATATTATGAGAATTTTTTTTAAGTTTATGTAATTGTATACACTTCTTTATTTTTAAATAACTTGCTATAGCTAGTTGATCACCATTATCTTTAAATATCCTGCTGGTCTTATTTTTTAACTGAACTTTTCTGTGCGATACTTTACAATTTAAGGATCCTCGTACCATGCATGGCCACCATATCATACTCGATATCCAGGAGTTACGCTCACTTTCTCTATCTACACCCCTGGAATATGTCATAGCAAAATTGAAGGCTCAGTGTGCAGCACCTTGTGGATGAGACGAGAAGACTAGTTTGATTCTTTGATGTACATCAAAAGAATCTGGCGGTCACATAACGATAAAACTTATTGGCTTTGAAGTTGCAGGCATTGCTTCTCTGTAATTTTCAAAGGACAAGTATCAGCCTAGTGATTGGTCAGGTGTGTTTTTACCAGACACCAATAAAATAGCTAGCCGTGTGCCTTCCATTTTGCTATGACATGTTCTGGCCAGGGGTGCAGAGAGCGAAAGTGGGCGTAACCACTGGGTATCGTGGATGTTGTACCAAAATCTATAACTACGTGTTAGAAACTGGGTTTTTTTCAATCATGACTATAGCTTTGATAAACAATTTCTTGAAAAAATCCTCATATACCTTGCAGGTCTTTTATGAAAAAGAATAGAGATGAAATAAACAAAATATAATCAACAACAGTTTTGTGAGCGTAAAATATCTGCGCATCTGTATCGGGATTTTAACCCTGAACTTTTAATTGTACGTTATTCTATTACTCTATAACCAACTGAACTACCCGACCAATATAAATATACTGACCCAACTTGTTATATTGTTATATTTAAGAAAAATCACAGTGCATTGGGACAAGGATCCTTAATTTAATGACAGAAAACTAAAACATATATTACATTGCATAACATCCCGGCAAACATCTTGGACACCGCCCACATGATCATGGTGCCAGTGTGTGATAACAATCTCCTGAATGGAAGTTTGGAAATCCTTCAGGGCTTTCTTCAGGTTTGTGATATAATCAGGAACATTCGGATCCCCTGCATCAATCAAAATTCTTCTGCAAAGAAAATTTAAACAAATATTAGTTTAAATTTCATTTTCATCACACAAATGAGTGTAATTTCCAAGTGCCAAACTACAGATTGGTCAAGAGTATTTGATAAAATTGTATTTGGTATAACCAGATGTCATATTATTAATCAACTGCAAAAGTGACTTTAACTGAAGTTTTCCATTAGAAAACATTGCTATGGTTAGCATTTTTCCTGGCTATTATAAGCAACACTGTCTTCAGGGAAAATCCTGGAATTTGAGATTATTGGGTCATTCTCAGCAGTTTTTATTCAATATCAAAATTAAGAGGGGCCATTCCACGTAAAATTAAAAGAAAATTGGAATATGGAGAGGTCAATTTCAGTTTTGAGGGGTCAATGGCCCCCTCCAGGATCATCCCTACTGTCTTTTCTTCATGTAACAGTAGAAGTGCAATGACCAGACCAAGGTTTGAACCTGTGACCTCTGAACTCTAGATGGACCCTATAACCAATTGAGCTACATACATTGTCACGGGTGATCGACCCAGTCAAGTTCCGCTACATTCCTGATCACTCCTTCAACAAAGTCTGTAACTTATATTAGGAGACCTCATGCCACGTACCTTTCATTGGTAAACATATATTAAGTTGGGCACCAAATGTGAAAGAGGAGCAAAATGCACAGCAAGACAGCTGGGATTCGAACCTCAGCGGACCTCCGAACTCTAGGTGGACCATGTCAGTTCTAGGATTTAAAACTTACACACTAAAGACAATATAGGTTTATGGAGATATAGATTTTATATAGAGCTACATAAATTTGATAGACAAGACTTTAACTGAGAAAATTTTACTTAACATTAAGTGTTTGATAGTGTAGCAGAATTGAACTGGATTGATTGTCCACAACCAGGAAGCTCAATTGGTAGAACGTACGTCTGCAGTTCGGAGGGTCCCGGGTTCGAAACCCGGTATATATAGCTGTGTTTTTTTCTGCTCCTATTACATTTGGTGTCTATGACCAACCCTTATTTCAAGGTGAATACTTGACAAGGGGATACCAGAATCTGGGTTGTAAATAGTTGTGTCTTCTGGGGCGAAGATTTAAAAAAAGGAGGGAGAAATGTAGCGAAACTGGACTGGCTCTATTGTCGGCGACCAGGTAGCTTATTTGGTATAGCATTCGGTTCAATTTCGGAGGGCCATGGGTTTGAAACCCTAGTTCGGCCATGAACTTTTCCACTCACAATAGCATTAAAACAAGAGGATATATGTTAAACGATAAAGAAAGTAGAATAATTAATTTAAACAGAATCCTTTTTCTGCAAATCATATATATTTATCATTCAGTCATACTTGTCAAAGAAAAAAACTTAAAAACTTAATCAATCCTCAAAATAAATGATTCCAGTTGACAAAAATAAATTGTACACTCATTTTTATAACCAACTGAACATGATCTACCTATTTGTCGGCAATCAACTCAGTCCAGCTCAGTGTCAAATTATTTTGCCCTAAATTCTGTTTGTCCCAGGTCGTTTTGCACTAAGATGTTTATCCCTATATATATGTTTAGTTGTGTATTGCTAATACAGTCTCCTAAGTGTCCCTTAGTCTTTTTTGTCATAAGACTCATTGGATTTGTACCTGGTTGACCAGATCTGCACATACAGTGTATCTAAACCTGCATGAAATTCTTCCGACATATGAAAGCACTGTTCTGAAACAGGATCAATACTGACTCTCAAAAAACACACAACTGTTCATAAAACATGAAAACAGTTAGCATTTAATCATATAAAACATCACAACTGATATTCATATACCTAATTTCCTTATATAATGGAGAAACAACTTAGCTTGGGCAAACTGAATTAAATTCTTTGATTATAAATTCTTTGTGTTTTTCCAAACACAACTAAGCGAAGTGATCGAATTGAGAAAAATAATGTTCATTTCTGTTAAATGTTTGCCGAGCGGTCTCAAACTGTCAAAAGGAAACTAGTTATCACGTTTTCCCATAGGAGCCTGAAGTTCTGTCAATAATAAATAATAATACCGAAAATATGCTTGAAATATAATGTTTTTAAGCATATATGCATATTATAGGTATTTTTTTGTATTACTATTATTATTCATTACTGACAGAACTTCAGGCTTCTGTGGTTTTCCCCACAGGGGCATGGGTCGCTTTACTTGTAATATTAAAAATAGGGGTCTCCTCTATTAAAAAATATTTTATTTTTAGAGACCCCTATTTTTTAATATTTTGTAAGTAAAGCGAGCCATGCCCCTGTGGTTTTCCCCAAAGGATAATGTTAAAGCCCCAAGATTAGGTTGTTAAATAGAGTGACTCACTTTGGTCCTGTACCGACAAGATATGTGTTCGTTCCTTGCAGTGTCATCGGTCTAGAGTTACACCCTAGAATTCTTATAACACGCTCTGAAAGTCGCTCCAAGTTCGGAATTGGGGTTAACTTCTGTACGACGGCTGCCATTTTGAACAATGTTTTTTTACTTCTGAAGTCACATGACTTAAATGTGACCTTGTTCATCAGTGAAGGAAAACGCTTCATTTTGACGGAGAACATCTTGAAATATTCAAGCATCAATATGATCTTGAACTTGAAGGTTCTCCCGTTTCCGGAAGAAGAAAAACAACGTTTCTGATTTTTATTTGTTCATTTGTTTAATTTTCCATGAAGAAGTACTTAAAAAATTCGATATACAACACAGAAAATGACTAGCCAAAGGTTTGTAATCCCGATATGACCTATTTCTTAGGACAGGCCGTGAATCGTTTTCAGAATAATACAATTCTCAAGTGCCATTTGGGTTTGAAGTTTGTTTGATGTCTATTTTAAGATGTAGGCTACATTGTAAGTAAGGACTAGGTTACAGTAACAATCAAAGGAACCATGCAATTCACTCTGTTTATAATTCACCGGAGACGCATTGTTTAGTTAACATGCTGTAAAATATTTTATCGTAGAGAATGACGAATTTGAATTTCAGATACTATTTTTAAAGTACATATTCTGTTGGTATGCGAAGCCCAACATTATTGAACCCATGTGCATTGTAACACTATTAGATCAATGAACAGCAACAGTGGAATCTCTAATAGATATTCAGTCCAAACATGTCTAAACACTGTGGCTTTGAACAATCCTCCAGGTGGTAATGCAATCAATCATTTCACCAGTATAGAAAAAAAGGGTTTCCAAGGATAGATGTATGGCAGGTTTTAATTGTACATAGGATTAGCTTCAAGCTAGAGGGAATTCCCTTTAGCTCAGTGGTAGAGCATCCGATTACCTAGGTTCGATCCCCGGTGGAAGCACACTATTCTCTTTCCTGTTACAAATGGTGTCCATGGCCCTCCCTGTGGTGACAGGGAGTTAGAACCTGGGTTGTGGTGTTCAAAGGCGAACACATTTAATAAAGGGGGAGTACAGTATATACGTAGTGTGGCAGGTTTTAATTGTACATAGGATTACGGTCGCTTTCCAGCTAGAAGGAATTTCCATTGAGCTAAAATTGAGCGTCCGACTAGGAACCTGGAGAAAGTAGGTTTGATCCCCGGTGGAAGCACACTCTTCTCTTTCCTGTTACAGATGGAACTTCACACTCTAGAGTATTTAACTCATAAAGCTACATTGTAGATGGACACTTATAATTATAAAACCATCAGTAATAATCTGGCATATATCCTCGGAGTAATCCCGGGCCCAATCTCCTGTGCGTTGTGTCCACTGCTATCTGCCCTGTGCCCACTTGTATCTCGTAGAAGTATTTGTACGTCCATGCAGGCAGTGAATGATATAATTTCAGTATTGTTTAAATGCTATGGAGTTTGAGTGATGACTACCAATCATGCCACAGGGCAGTGGAGATCATGATCAAGAAACTTTAGTCACACTCTAAATGATGATAATGAAGTAATTAACACATGTATAAAAGAAAAAAACTGCTCATGATTTATGTCTCTATGATTAAAAAATGAGTAACAGGAAAGGAAAATGTACGACCAGTCTGTGACTCGTACCCAGGACCTCGTGTACTCTAGTATACCTTCATTAAGTTGCCAGCGATCAAACCTGTCACGTTCCACTACACTCCTCCCTCCTTCAACAAAGTCTTCGACCCTGAAGACACACGACCATACACCACCTTCCATGGGTTTTTGTTGTGCACAGAATGCTACAGGAGGGGGAAAATACATAGCAAAACTGGGACCCAATTAATGTAATAGTCAGGTGCTGTAACCATTTGAGCTACCTAGTCTCTGGCAATCAACACTGTCCAGTTCTGCTACAGATAGGCTTCAAGTTCAAAGCTGTGCACCTGTTGTAGTGTTGCTAGAAGTCCCTTGTCCTAATACGTTTAATTCCCTTTGCCCAGCACTTGATAAGTTAAGACATATACATGTACATATGCATGTACTTTGAGAAGTGGCAATTGCAACAAGAGTTCACCACTGTCACAAGTTAAGACATTGCTTTGTAAGTAATAAGCAACAAGCCAGAACAATATTAAAATTTGAAACATCCAAACACAAGAGTGACACCCTGCCAACTGAGAATTCTGTTCTATGACATGGTCACATCCGGCTGTATATATACGGTAAACCTCCGGTCAGTTCGAATAGGCGGATAGTTCGAACACACTTTTTGAACAATACAAATAATAATTTTCTGTCTAGTGACTAATGGTTCGAACCCTGCTTACACACGTTTCAGATTGTTCAAACACACAACTTAAGTAACTGAACTTACGTAATTATTGATCGAGGTTGGCTATCAGCCATGCGATAATAGCCTCGCGAAACATGATTAAACTTTATCAATTTGAGCATCGACAGCGTTTAACTACTGAAAACCGTAAGTACTCGTGTGCGACCATTGTTGTCATCAATTCGTACAATATAAATTTACATAAATAAGTACTCTTTATTTTAGCAGCTATAATTTCGTGAAATTTGAACAGGATTGACAATATTTATTTAATTTTGTTCTAACAGACTGAAGGTTTACCGTAGGTCCTGTCCAAATTCACTTCAAACTTATTGTACATTTTGTATATTGAAAAGACTACATTATATTTGTACTACCGTATTCACTGTAATTATGCACCCAGGGTACTTAAAAATAAGCTTAAATGGGGGCGCTTATAACAGAAGGACATTACAAACATTCCAGTGTAGCTGCAGGTTTGGATATCAAATATTACCTAGATCTGCTTCATTGCGAAGCCCAGTCATGATCCCCAGTCATAAGTCTCAACTTTATAGTGTAACAACTGTAAATCATTGACTTACCCTCAGCAGGTCTCGGATGGGGGTTTATATAATTTCAATTCCTCTGGAAATAGGGTGAGGGGTGCTTATAAGGAAAGGGAGCCAATTACATTGTACGTCGAATACGGTAATGATTTCACTGTTGCATTGTCTAATATATATAGATCACAAAATAGCTGATTGACCTTAATCCTTAGGTATACAATAATGGTAAGTAAAACCTACGTACAAGAAGTGTTTGTCCTGTATTCAGTATATTCAATATGGCTTAATTAGGTTTATGAAATATAAGCTATATTTAATTGAACTACATTTATAGGTATGTAATTCTAATACAGTAATTAAGAATCAAATTTCTTGCAATAATCAAATATCATATGTTTGCTGTTCCAATTGGTTAAATAGAGATAATGTTTTGATTTCCTAGAAATGTATAATGTGTCATTTGTATGTATGTAATATTTTAAACATAAGGAATTGTTCCAATTAATTTCAGTATCATCATGATATGGTCGATATCAATCAATTTGTTCTCTTGTAAGACTTACACTTTTATATATTGACACATTAATATGATGTGTACAGTACTGTGTATATGATATTTTCAAGACATGAAATGTACACTGAACTTCTTACAGCTGGTGTCAGTTGTTTCACCCATAACCATGTTAATAAATTATCTTGCTGAACCATTTACATGTATATATCAATATATAGTTATGTCATTAATTTATTCATTTCTATTTTTCATTATGCAGTGAATTAACAAAATTAAGTGATGAAAGTTTGGCGCGACCTCCAGACGAAGTGTTTGATATTATTTGTAAGATAGGACGAGGGTAAGGTTTGACAGGCACCTGTTGCTATGGTAACTTGCGGTCATGTGCCTGCTGTTAGCTCTGCCCTCCCCATATCAGTTGTGCAATCACATTTCAGCTTGCATTTGTTATTTTTGTTGTTCATTTGTTACTTGAAGGCCAAACAAACAATATCTGGTTCTTTGCAATTGTTGATTTTTCGTCTCCAAAAATTTGTAGCGCGGAATGAAAATAATTCCTGCCAAAAAATATTTTGTTATTTGTTAACAAATTTATATTAGATTGCTAGAGTTGTTTGTTTGGTCTTTTGATCTGTACAAATGATGTATAGATCAGAATTACCATTGTATACACATGTTGATACACATGTATGACACCTTCCTTCATCTTGCATCTCTAACTTGCATGTACATGTAAATATGACTTAATATACATCTTTCCTGTAAGTACAAGTATATTTCGTCAAATATAGAAGAACTTTTTTCACAGTTTAATTATTGCATCGTGAGTTTTCGAATGTTTTAAATTAAATGGCCAATTATGTATAAGCGACCAATTCAACTAGCTATGTTACAGTAATATTCATGATAAGTGACATTGTATATTAAATATAAGTTATTTATATTTTGAATTTCTTTTTATCGTAAAATAATATAAGAAACCTTGATGGCGTAATTAAAAACGAACTTTAAATTGCAAACTGTCTTTTATTCTTGAGATTCTGATCAGTACATACAGTATTTAAATTACATTATAATACATTTTTTTATTTTTTTGTACATGAATAAGCAGTCAAATAGATTTTAAAATATTTTCAAGATAAATTATTCAGATGATACATTCATCAGCATATTTATAGCACGGTACTTTTGACATGTTTCAATTTAAAACTTATAATACATGTCATGAAGTTGCAGCTTTTCTTCTTCTGAATGTCATAAATCATATTCTTAGGTAACATATTTCTGATCAGTGTGTGGCATTATAATAGGTTCAAGTATCTAAAAAGTCTTGCATTTAAAAATTTGTTGAAATTTATAAGTTGACTTTGTATGTTAATTGTTATATTATTGTACCTCAAACTTTGAATCATCTCCGATTCTGGTAGAACGAAAATAGATAATGTTTATTGCAATTATAAAGCAGATCAAATACTTCTTAAAATTTTGTATTGTGAATTTTCTGTCAATTGGCTAGAGTCACGATCGTGAAGTCAGTGTAATAAAGGTTCTATAGATCAACATTCTCATACACTTGCCAACTTTTTAAAATATTCCATGAGGGGAGATTATAATTATATGTGTACTCAGAATTTAAAAGTACAAATAAGATGTGTGTGTGCACCCTAGGGGGAAAATAATGTTTTTTTAAATGACATCTTTTGAGCTGGTCTTTCAGATGAAATCATCAGATCTTAAAAAAATTAGGAAAAGTTCAGCTATAATTCACAAATTGAAAATGCTCAATTTTATGGTCCAAAATCAGGAATCTCCCTGCAAAATAGAGAGAGTTTGCAGTTATGAATTCTGGGAAAATCCTGTCTGACATATATAGCTATGTACATTATACATTGGAATATATTTTTAGTCTACCCTATAAGTATTCTGCTTTTTGTTAGGATCTCCGCCTACACACTCCATCATATTCCTCCTAATATTTTTTGCTCTGTCTGTATACTTTTACATTCATTTTTACTGACCGTTTCCTAACTATGCTTTTAATTTTTTTTCATATTTATTTTTAACTTTTGAAGTATAATAATATAATTATAGACATTCAGTATTTACAGTATTTTCACTAAAATTATAAATTCAAGTGTCGGTTAGCATTCCTGTATGAATCTGTAGCTCCAACTAGTGGTTATGATAACCTACCTTTGTATATCTATGGAGATTTCACCTGGCCTTGACCTTTAAACTTAGCTTGGAACAACTTGTGACATACCTTTTGATGTTGTTAGCATGTGTATATGATGATGTTAGTAATTTGTGTACGGTGGTTGTGGATATGGTATCTTGGAAAACAAAACAATTGTTGTTGTTTGTTTTCAGTGCATGCATGATGACCTCAGGATTTTAGCGTTAACGTCAAAATTGATGGAGCAAATTATTCCAAGTGATGCTCAAAGGAAAAAATAATAAATTGTAATATAATTAAGTTCTGGACTTCTTTCTCAAGATTTTAACAATACTTTCTGATTTTTCCTTGGAACATTGAAAGTTTTAATTTGCTAGAAATAAAGCCCTGTTTATATATATATGATTTAACTTGCTTCCATATATGGGTTGTAAGGAGAAATTTCGCATGAATTCTGAAGAAAAATGAAAATATATTTATTAATCTATATAGAATTCAATGTTGGCTGTCAAGTACATAAATGATATATCAGTATACATCATTTTTCTAAAATCCAACGATACACAAAAATATTTATGGATGATATATATATAATTTTTTATAATATATCCTTTGTCATTATGCATGATACTTCATCAGGAATGCCAAATCCACAACTACAAGAATGCGAGCTGAAGTTATCGGTGATCTGTACTAGTACTTGTGGTTTTGCCCAAAACAGCATTGTGCATTTTCCTTCCAGAATCATTTCGGAGCTAGCTAGATACAACTAGAATGTTACATGGTATCGGTCTGACACAGGGAAGTATTTCAGAATGGGGCCTGTCTTTTAATAAAACACTTTTCTGTTGTATAAATCACATAGTATAACAAGGGTGATACTAATCAATTTCTACCTTTTATTGTATCTAACTTATACGCACACACTCAAAAAATTGTCGAAATTCAAAAATTCCATTTTCAAAAATAAGTGACTGGATATTATCTTCTCTGTAATATAAAATGTCTCCTATCATTTAAATGTAATCTTTAGAGATAGATTTTAATTTTGGCAAAAATGATTGTTTTTTGTGCCCTGCTTGGCGAAACCATTTGTTTGTTGCCATTTTCGTTAAAATATAATCTTTATATGTAAGTTAAAAGATCTAGAACTGTCAGTGTTTTTTCGCCCTGACTACTGTCGATACCTTTTGTTAGTGACCATGTACCATGTCAGTTGTATGTAGCTAGCTGGAGTAGCCAGACGATGGGTTGTGCAGTAGTGTACTAGGCCAGACGGCAGATAAGGCACAGACTGTAGGTATCGCTAAAAGTAACCATCATGGCCATCTCTTCTTGTATCGTCATCACAGTGTCAATATTGGTGATATTCATTCAATTTCATTATTAATTTGTGTTGACCATTGTCAACATTGAAGACTTAATCACCATTGCAAACATTTGCAACATGACTCATTGTCAACATTGGAGCTATGACTGGCATTGTCAACATTGAAGATGTGCTTTAAATTGCCAGCACTAATGATGATCATCATTGCCAATATTGGCAATATGAACCATTGTCAACATTGGCAATATGAACCATTATCAACATATTGGCAATATGAACCATTATCATCATTGGCAATATGAATAATTGTCAATATTGGCAACATGAATCATTGTCAACATTAATTTTGGCAACATGAATCATTGTTAACATTGGCAACATGAATCATTGTTAACATTGGCAACATGAATCATTGTCAACATTAGCAACATGACTACATATTAAAGGTAGGAGCTGTTTTGTAAACAAATTGATGACATGACTATCATTGTCAACAATATAGCAACAATGGTCAATATTGTCAACATTATTTTTATTAAATGACACTGCCTTTGACCACCATACCTGTAAGAGATGACCGCGATGGTGTACATCTAGCATTGACCGCTGTCCACGTTGGTTAACAGCCTGGCTGTGTGCTGCTTGCCCTGTGCTTTGTTCGCTTCCCTTTTTAGTTGGCTTGTCCTTTTGTGTTCCTTAGTGACCCCCTAAAGAGATTACAAGAGGATGACCTCACACGACCCCCAGAGGAGGTGTTCGACGTGTTGGGCAAGTTGGGCGAGGGGTAAGACACATCAGGGTGTTCTTATAGAACATATGTGTACAGTAGATATTTAGGAGACTCCAGGCCTCTGTACATATTAATATTCTGTTAACGATAGCAGAATATTCATACACAGCATACTGTAAATGTTTATAATGATACTAAACCAGTTGGATATATTAGAATTTGTCATAGTAAATGATAATTAAAAAGGTTGAATTTTCTCCAACTTGAACAATTCAATGAGACATAACTGACTTTTTCAGTATTTGCCAATTAAATCTTAAACAGTCCATTAAAAGTATCAGCTTTGTGTATCAGTCAGTAGATTTAGCAGGTTTTTTCGATTTCTTGTAACAGTAGTTTGAGCAGGGTTTACAATTTCTGTGTGTCAGTAGATTGATTAGGTTTCGTTGCTTCTTTGTGCCGATTGATTTTCCTGTGTTTTATTAATTCTATGGGCTGTCATGCAGGTAATGGACAGGTGTATAAGTCTGTGTGCCGGTATATAAATAATGATACAGTTTTTTTAACAACTTCGTATAAAAATTGTTAGTCCTGAACATTAGGCTTGTGGTTAATTATATATTAATTGTTGTGTAAGCACATTGGAATAATGATTAATTCTAATAACTATCGGTCAAGATAATGCATCATTTTATTGTCTTCTTAGATAAATTTGTTAAATTAATTTGCTTTTCCCTTAAAAAAATATATTATTTTTTGAATTTTAGTTTCCAAGTTAAACATCACTTGTTTAAATGTTAACTATATAAAACACTGTGTAGAGTTCACATGCAGGTGTTTCATTAAATCACATATCGTTTTAATTCTCCTTGTGACATTTCTACACTTAATATTTTGGTAGTTGATGTCCTACATGTTTCTATTTATTTCTGATGGTGTTCTGTTAATTCTTGAAAGTTGGAAAACTAGACTGGAGCCTTACTTAATTTTTCTGGTTTGCAAAGACAATAAACCCTCACTATTGGGCATGATCAGTATTTCCTTATAATAGTTAAGACCATACAATTCAAAGTTATCTTATAAGGGGAAAACATTATATTATTGATAAAAGGCTCTTTTCACATAATTAGAAAATGGGTTGGATTTTAGCAATTACCTTATTTTGATCTGCATATAATGGGGGTGAAAGTTGAAAATGTCTCTACACTAGGGGTTGGAACCCGGAAGAATTGTAAAATTTACATCACTGGGGCTTTTTGAGTAGTTTGAGAGGTATACAAATTCCTTTCTTCCCCTTGCATTCATGTTTATATAATGATAGGTGGGAATGATGTTCTATATTTGTTTACCTATTGACTTCAAATTTAGGATTAGGAATACATGTCTTTCCTGCCCTCTAGCCCCTACTCTTTCTTATATAATAAGTAGCTATAGAAAAGCTATGGCATTCTGCTTCCAAGGGCATGCCAAGAAGTGACCTCCCCTTCCACTTTCCATCCTTTGGTTGGAAGTCTCAATTGCCCTTAATTTAATAGTGTAAAAATAGATGAGAGCTAATTCCTGGGTGTAAATCCATCTTCAGTGGTTGGAGATCTAGATACAGTAGGAATGTCTAAATCCCTCGTCAGTGGCTGGAGGTCTGGATGTCTAAATCCCTCTTCAGTAGCTGGAGGTCAGAATGTCTAAATCCCTCTTCAGTGGCTGGAGGTCGGAATGTCTTAATCCCTCTTCAGTGGCTGGAGGTCGGAATGTCTAAATCCCTCTTCAGAGGCTGGAGGTACAGTAGAAATGTCTAAATCCCTCTTCAGTGGCTGGAGGTCGGAATGTCTAAATCCCTCTTCAGAGGCTGGAGGTACAGTAGAAATATCTAAATCCCTCCTCAGTGGCTGGAGGTCGGAATGTCTAAATCCCTCTTCAGAGGCTGGAGGTACAGTAGGAATGTCTAAATTCCCTCTTCAGTGGCTGGAGGTCGGAATGTCTAAATTCCTCTTCAGCTGCTGAAGGTAGGAATGTCTAAATCCCTCTTCAGTGGCTGGAGGTAGGAATGGCTATTAGTAAAGACACCCAGTGCACCATCTCTTGTAGTTGCATTTTTAATTGTCTGCTTTTGTGGAAATGGTTTCTCATAGACACAAAACATGCTTGTCTGATTTTGTTTTGTTTGCATCATACAATATAATTTGCATCGTTTGTTGATATATTTTTGTATTATATATTGTTTAATGACTATCCCGATATTGAATGTATAGACAATTATAGATAGTGCATATTCAAATGTTATATTAATTATGCCACTTTTAGTTGAATTGAATTTAAATAAATATTCATAATAGCATACTGGTAATGATATTTTTATTTTCTTAAATTCATTTAGAAAAAAAACAACATATTCTATCATAATACATTCCAGAACAAATCTATAGAAATTATAAATGAACTGTTTTTCAATTATAAAAATTAAATATCAAATATGCGGAAAAGAAAAAAGAAAAAAAATTCTTGAGGATTTACAAAAACAATTAATCAACATATTGCCACATTTTCTTCCTTTAATGTTTGAAATGTGTGGTCCCTAGGTCCTATGGCAGTGTGTACAAAGCACTCCACAAGGAGTCGGGACAGGTCCTGGCCATCAAGCAGGTTCCTGTTGATACCGACCTGCAGGAGATCATAAAGGAAATCTCCATCATGCAGCAGTGCGACAGTACCTTCATTGTCAAATACTACGGCAGCTACTTCAAAAACACAGACCTATGGGTAGGTACTTCAAAAAACACAGCTATTGGTATGTACTTCATGAACACAGACCTATGGGTATGTACTTCATAAACACAGACCTATGGGTATGTACTTCATGAACACAGTACCTATGGGTATGTACTTCATAAACACAGACGTATGGGTATGTACTTCATAAACACATACCTATGGCCGATATGTACTTCATAAACACAGACCTATGGGTATGAACTTCATAAACACAGACCTATGGGTATGTACTTCATGAGCACAGACCTATGGGTATGTACTTCATAAACACAGACCTATAGGTATGTATTTCATAAAACACAGAGCTATGGGTATGTACTTCATAAACACAGACCTATAGGAATGTACTTCATAAAACACAGAGCTATGGGTATGTACTTCATAAACACAGACCTATAGGTATGTACTTCATAAAACACAGAGCTATGGGTATGTACTTCATAAACACGGACCTATGGGTATGTAGTTCATAAACACAGACCTATGAGTATGTACTTCATAAACACAGTTCCTATGGGTATGTACTAATAAACACAGACCTATGGGTATGTAGTTCATAAACACAGACCTATGGGTATGTACTTCATAAAACACAGACTTATGGGTATGTACTTCATAAACACAGACCTCTGGGTATGTACATCAAAAACACAGACCTATGGGTATGTACTTCATAAACACAGACCTATGGGTATGGAGTTCAGAAACACAGACCCATGGGTATGGAGTTCAGAAACACATACCTATGGGTATGTAGTTCTGAAACACAGACCTATGGGTAAAGATGGTATGTACTTCAAAAACACAGACCAAGACTTTAATAACACAGACTTGTGTGTTTGTACGATAAAACCCCCAGACTAAATTATTAAAATACCTGGTAAGTACTAGTAGAGACCTAGGGGTGCTCCATTGCTCTACTGTGTTTTGCATAAGAGACCCATTTAATATGTGTATATAACAATATTGTGTCGAAATACATGCACCATTTCGCTGGATTTTGATTTTGTTTCTCTTCTTGAATTTATTTGAAAAATAATTTTTGATATTGAAATTAATGATTTAAAGGCAAAACTACTATAATTTAGGAAGTTGTTGAACCTAACATTTTTAGGAATTTCTATTCGTTCTTTACAGATCGTGATGGAGTATTGCGGAGCTGGTTCAGTATCTGACATTATGAGACTTCGCAACAAAACAGTGAGTTGAGCTTAAAAGTTTGTAATATCATCAGGTGATAAGATCATACTCAGGAAATAGTCCATCCCCCAATTTATATACAGGGTTTGTAATGAGAGTTTTATCAAGGTGAGATAGAGGGCAAATATACTTAAAACCAGGGCCTTGAAATTAAGAAATACCTTGTATTAATGGAAGAGGTCAAATAATTGTGTTTTTGGAGAACTCACAAGCTCATTCTACATCTGTACGTTCCACAATGGTCTATGTCAAAAAGTTGTAATACATGTAGCATCTAAGACACTATTTCCCCCTGCATTTAATAAGAAATACCTGTTTTACTAATGGAATAGGTGAGATAATTTGTAATTTGGAAAACTCACAAGCAATTTGTACATTTTTATGCTATGTACTGTACCATATGTGTATGTTAAAAATTTGTGATGGCATCTAAGACTCGTTTTTACCCCACATTGACAACAATGTTGAAGATGTTTATATGATACCTGTGTTTATTTGAACTAATATAAATGTATGCCGAATTTCGAATTACTATTGCTTAATTTTCTACGAGATTACATATTTCGAAAATATATAGTAAATGTAAGTATAAAACGGCTTTTTCAATTGCCATTCTCCTTGGCAATATAGAAGCCAAATGGACAACTCAACCTGAATCACAAGCATGTTCAGGATCACTGAATTTTCCTTTTTTCCAGGTGGCATTAATATTGTTTAAGACAGTATATGTAAATAGAGAATAATACATTCCTTTTTCCATATCACACTCAGTACTAGTATCCACCTGAGACTCCCAATATCAGCCCGAGGGTTGATACTGGATGTGATATGGAAAAAGGCATGTTTTATTCTGTTTATTAGATACCTACTAATAAAATACAGATGGGTCTTCTATCTTATGATCGATTTTTCTTTTGAATTTTTGAAAAAACGAAAAAAATCCAAAAGGGGTGTGATACGGGTTTTGCAGGCTGATACGGAGAGGGTTGATACAGGTTTTTGAGGGTGAGGGCTGATATGGATTAGAGTAATTGTGACGTATCGCATATACAAAAAACCTGTATTTATTAGTATTAGTAATTAGTAATGATCTGTGATATAGCATGGGGGTCATAAAAATTTACGGAAAACTGATGGACAGAATGTTGTTAAACATAAATCCTTACTGTAAAATCTGTAATTCTTACTGTAAAATCTGTAATTCTGACTGTAAGATCTGTAATTCTTAATTTCTTTTTTGTCTTACAGCTGTCTGAAGATGAGATAGCTACCATCTTGTTTGATACACTGAAGGGTCTAGAGTATTTACACTCGCGACGGAAAATACACAGGGATATCAAGGCAGGGAACATCCTCCTTAACACAGAAGGGCACGCCAAACTGGCAGACTTCGGCGTGGCAGGACAATTAACGGTGAGAAATGAGAGGGGCATGTGATATTGACAGACTTGGGTGTATCAGAAGAACTGAGAGGGGCATGTGATATTGACAGACTTAGGTGTATCAGAAGAACTGAGAGGGGCATGTCATATTGACAGACTTGGGTGTATCAGAAGAACTGAGAGGGGCATGTCATATTGACAAACTTGGGTGTATCAGAAGAACTGAGAGGGGCATGTGATATCGACAGGCTTAGGTGTATCAGAAGAACTGAAAAGGGCATGTGATATTGACAGACTTGGTTGTATCAGAAGAACTGAGAGGGGCATAAGATATTGACAGACTTGGGGGTATCAGAAGAACTGAGAGGGGATTGTGATATTGACAGACTTAGATGTATCAGAAGAACTGAGAGGGGCATGTCATATTGACAGACTTGGGTGTATCAGAAAAACTGAGAGGGGCATGTCATATTGAAGGGCTTATGGGTATCAGAAGAACTGAGAGGGGCATGTCATATTGACAGACTTGGGTGTATCAGAAGAACTGAGAGGGGCATGTCATATTGACAAATTGGGTGTATCAGAAGAACTGAGAGGGGCATGTGATATCGACAGGCTTAGGTGTATCAGAAGAACTGAAAAGGGCATGTGATATTGACAGACTAAGAGGTATCAGAAGAACTGAGAGGGGCATGTGATATTGACAGACTTAGGTGTATCAGAAGAACTGAGAGGGGCATGCGATATTGACAGACTTGGGTGTATCAGATGTTAAGATGTTAAGAACTGGAAGCCAGACTAAGCCTAGTTGGACAACTCTTACTGTGTCCTTGATATTCTGTGATGTTAACCCTTTCACCCCTATATAATTTTAATAACCTCTACCATAAACTGATCTGGATGAGTCCATTATGGTCTACAGTGTTAAAAGGGTTAAATCAACTATACCATTTATTTTTTTCATTATTCCAGGACACAATGGCCAAAAGAAACACTGTGATAGGCACACCATATTGGATGGCTCCAGAGGTTATACAGGAGATTGGGTACGACTGTGTAGCAGATATCTGGAGTTTACGTAAGTACCAGAGGTTATACAGGAGGTTTGGTATGACTGTGTAGCAGATATCTGGAGTTTACGTAAGTACCAGAGGTTATACAGGAGGTTTGGTATGACTGTGTAGCAGATATCTGGAGTTTACGTAAGTACCAGAGGTTATACAGGAGGTTTGGTATGACTGTGTAGCAGATATCTGGAGTTTAGGTAAGTACCAGAGGTTATCCAGGAGATTGGGTACGACTGTGTAGCAGATATCTGGAGTTTAGGTAAGTACCAGAGGTTAGACAGGAGATTGGGTACGACTGTGTAGCAGATATATGTAGTTTAGGTAAGTACCAGAGGTTATACAGGAGGTTTGGTGCGACTGTGTAGCAGATATATGGAGTTTCGGTAAGTACCAGAGGTTATACAGGAGATTGGATACGACTGTGTAGCAGCTATATGGAGTCTAGGTAAGTACCCGAGGTTATACAGGAGATTGGGTACGACTATGTAGCAGATATATGGAGTTTAGGTAAGTGCCAGAGGTTATACAGGAGATTGGGTACGACCGTGTAGCAGATATATGGAGTCTAGGTAAGTACCAGAGGTTATACAGGAGGTTTGGTGCGACTGTGTAGCAGATATATGGAGTTTCGGTAAGTACCAGAGGTTATACAGGAGATTGGATACGACTGTGTAGCAGCTATATGGAGTTTAGGTAAGTACCAGAGGTTAGACAGGAGATTGGGTACGACTGTGTAGCAGCTATATGGAGTCTAGGTAAGTACCCGAGGTTATACAGGAGATTGGGTACGACCGTGTAGCAGATATATGGAGTCTAGGTAAGTACCAGAGGTTATACAGGAGGTTTGGTGCGACTGTGTAGCAGATATATGGAGTTTCGGTAAGTACCAGAGGTTATACAGGAGATCGGGTACGACTGTGTAGCAGATATATGGAGTCTAGGTAAGTACCAGAGGTTATACAGGAGGTTTGGTATGACTGTGTAGCAGATATCTGGAGTTTAGGTAAGTACCAGAGGTTATCCAGGAGATTGGGTACGACTGTGTAGCAGCTATATGGAGTCTAGGTAAGTACCCGAGGTTATACAGGAGATTGGGTACGACTGTGTGGCAGATATATGGAGTTTAGGTAAGTACCAGAGGGTATACAGGAGGTTTGGGACGACTGTGTAGCAGATATATGGAGTTTCGGTAAGTACCAGAGGTTATACAGGAGATTGGGGACGACTGTGTAGCAGATATATGGAGTTTCGGTAAGTACCAGAGGTTATACAGGAGATCGGGTACGACTGTGTAGCAGATATATGGCGTTTAGGTAAGTACCAGAGGTTATACAGGAGGTTTGGTACGACTGTGTAGCAGATATATGGAGGTTAGGTAAGTACCAGAGGTTATACAGGAGGTTTGGGACGACTGTGTAGCAGATATCTGGAGTTTACGTAAGTACCAGAGGTTATACAGGAGGTTTGGTATGACTGTGTAGCAGATATCTGGAGTTTAGGTAAGTACCAGAGGTTATCCAGGAGATTGGGTACGACTGTGTAGCAGGTATATGGAGTTTAGGTAAGTACCAGAGGGTATACAGGAGGTTTGGGACGACTGTGTAGCAGATATCTGGAGTTTACGTAAGTACCAGAGGTTATACAGGAGGTTTGGTACGACTGTGTAGCAGATATCTGGAGTTTAGGTAGGTACTAGTTGTCTATAAGGGTTCATGTTGTAAATGGCTTTGTTTTATCATCTTTAGTAAGGTATAAGTGTAGCAATTTGTAAAACTGCATGAAATAACAAGCTCTTTATTCATGAAACCAAAGTTTTTTCTGGGTTGCTCACATTATGTTTTCCTTGTTATTTTCTTTATATACTGACTAAGGAAATTTGAAGTGTTTACACTGTATGCCAGGAAATATTTGCCTTTATTGCCCTCCGTAATGAGGGCGAATTTATCTTATTGCCCTCCGTAATGAGGGCAAATTTATCATGACACAGGATATCATTACACAATACGCCATATAGAGTAATCACATTTAAGTGGAGAGAAATTATCATTAGTGAATATGTAGTTTACCAGAGACAGTGAAATTTTTCTGTTATTCATATGAGGCCATTATTTTGTCAATGCCTTCGCTAGGGGTAGAAACTGCATCATCTGGTATACTAGTCTTGCACTCTACCAAATGACCTAAAGAGAAATTCTCCCAAGCCGAGTTGGTAAGAAGCACCTATTATTTAACAAGTTACAGCATTTCTTGTTGAAGCACCGATGAGTATTTTTGTCAATATTTTCCAGCACCTTCCTATGTGGGCACTAAGGTAACAGAAGCCACTATTTTTTCAATACCTTCACTAGGGGTCGAACCCAGGACCTCTGATATACTAGTCTTACGTTCTGCTGAATGAGCTAAAGAGAAATTCTCCGTAGCTGAGTCAGTAGGAAACGACTAGTATTTTACCAGGATGACATACATTATATTGTTGTATGGACTTTATCGACCTTGGACTGAGTCCTTCCTCGGTCAGTATCATTGTTCCGACATAGATGGATATTTGATGTGTGTATTTCTGGTGTGTTACAGGTATAACAGCATTAGAAATGGCCGAAGGAAAACCACCCTACGGAGATATTCATCCTATGAGAGTAAGTGTGTGTTGTAAATCTGGTAAACTTCTGCCATCTCCTGAGCAGGCATCTTTAAGTTGTAAGATAATCAATCAATCAATAAATGTTGTCAGTAATAAGTCTTGTGTAAATTGGCCCATATTCCTATTTAGGATTTAGGAAAAATGATAGTAATGAAATATATATGACATTATAATACTGTATATCAGGAAATTTTTGCCGCAATTTTACTTTCACCTTTATACACACTCCGTAATGAGGGCAAATTTATCATTGCAACAAACATTATAAAATAACATTATAGACTTATAAGCAAAAAAAGTTGATCATTTGCTTTTGATATAAGAAGAGAAAGGTATTGCTTAAAAATTTCATCGGGTTTAAATTTGTAAACATATAATAAATATCTAAAATGCATAAATGACTATTAATAACATTGTTTTGACAGGCAATATTTATGATACCCACGAAGCCTCCTCCCTCCTTTCGGAACCCAGACAAGTGGTCGCCAGAATTTATAGACTTTGTCTCCAAGTGTCTCATCAAAAATCCAGAACAGAGAGCTACAGCACCGGAACTTATGAACGTATGTGCTGTGTTGTATCTACAATATATTTTCATGGGTCTTTTTCTACTATATTGCTAAAACGATGGACCACACAATGTAAAATTTAAATACTTCCAGAAATTCTACGAGTCCCATCAAGATTCTAGAGTATGGTCGCCCCTTCTGCATATGCGGTTCAACTGGATAATCTGTTTTTAAATGTAACATTTTTGGGTATAAATCCTGGTGGACCTGCAAATGTTTATGCAGGCCTTGTGCATGGATTTGTCAAGGGGCACCTGAAAACAGGAATCAGATTACTAGGTCCAACCTTATTTCATAGAAGAACAAATCTGGTCCAACTGGTTCAACAGTTTGGATCGCGATATATGGATGCAGCCTGGGATTTGGGACTTGTATATGTAGATTTGTCACTGGATGTGTATTTTTCATCTGGAGCCAGTTAAAGATTTGTTAGCTTTTATTAGACTTGATTATAAATACTTTATTAAAACCTATAGAGGATGTTGGGAAAGTTCCTTGAACAGGTGATTTTCAATGACACAAACCTAAGTTAGTTTCATTAAAAGTCAGTGTGCACGTGATGGGAGGGGACATACTTTTCGATCCTGTTTATTACACAATTTAACTATGATCAATTGAAAAAAAATGTTAAACTTATTTATTAGATAAAAGAACGAAGATAAAGTTCAAACTTTTACCTTAAAGTTATTAATAAGTTTATCTTATATATTGAACTATTTTGGCTGATATAAAAACAAAATTTATTTAAGCTGTGAATGTTTCCGCAAATTTTGTTTACGTCCTAAAACACACATGCCCACTTAATAGGGCTTCATGTATGTTTGTCAGCAAAAGAAATGTGTGCTATAGGACCATATCAATATTTGCTAAAATATTCATTACTTATATTTACATTTTGATAGAGTAATTATGCTTTATTTAGTTATTTCGAACAGTTTTATGAACAGCAAATAAAGTGTTGATATCAATGAAATTGATGACGTTACATAAGCAAATGTTGTTATAGTCTCATAACAATATTTGCCTTCTCAATGCAATGGAAGGATGCATAGCAAATGTAAATATCATATCTTGATGTTTGCAAATCTTCACCACTTTAAATATGTTTTACAGTAATGGTTGCAACTTAACATGTTCAATACATATATAGGATAAGATTATGATTATTTTCCTTACAGCATGAATTTATAAAGAATGCCCAGCCGTGTACAATATTACAAGATATCATCAAAGAAGCCAAAGAGATTCTTACCGCACAAACTTCAGCTACCACGAATGGTGATGACTCGGTAAGTTTCCTTCTCGTAATCATTATTGATCAATCAAAACAAAATGTTGGATAGATTTACTCCTTTGAGCCACATTAGCCCAGCCACTACTAGTGTTCGGCCCAGTTGTTCAAATGGTGATTATTGCTTAATCAGTGTTTAATAGCGCAAATTTCAATTTTTGTTCAAATTTCAAACGCAACCATTGAATTAGTTATAACTTTCCAGATGTCAAATATTTACTAGAGCGCCTTTTGAAGAACAGGGCCCAGTTGTTTTAGAGAAAAATTGCAAAAATGAAAGCCCTTGTAAAAAAAAAACTGTTACACGGTACTTTTGAACTACAAGGTGGTTGGATTATCGACTAGGAATGAAGATGGCTGAGTTGTCAAGGTTCCTTTTGATCTATCTGGCCTTATCTACGACTTCTAAAATCTCAGTTTCATTATGACACTAATAATTGATCATGTACAGTACATCTCCTTTACTTTTATGTATTTTTTCAGCACATATTGTCTTGTGAATTATCTCCCTTGTATCAGGAACATTTGTTGTATTTTCATGACACTTGTCTTTAATAATATAAATTTAATGAAAAAAAGGAAATGTTTTGTATCAATTACATGTACAGAGAATGTTATCAAGATACAAAAAAGGGTAAGACATTTTTAAAAAAAAAAGAATTTTTAAAACATTCCTTTTTTTTTTTTTAGGGAGAGGAAGATGACGTGGACTCGGGTACCATGTTACATAAAAGAGATGACACAATGAAATCTCAGTCGGGATCGGTGGGTTAGTATGAAACTGAAATGTTAAATGTGAAACTTTGAAGGGTTGGATATTACAAGTAATTTTCATATTGCAATATGTTGTAATATTTTAGCAAGCATTGCAATGTGTCACAGTACTCCTAGACATATTGTATGTTTCTAGTGATTTTCTATATACTGGTAGAAAATACGAAAAGTGAGCATCAAATCTGCAATGAAAATTGGACAATTATTGCATGCAGTTTTGGAAGATATCAAACCATGCATATTCCTGCATTCAGATAAAATTGATTCAATCTTAATGTTATTTCTGTACAATTATTTCATAACTTTGTTTAAACCCCCACGACAAAGAATTCAAAACATATTGCAATATAAATATGAATATGTTACTAATCAAATATTGCAATTTATCACATAACATGTACTGTTTTATCCAGTGAATATACCCATGTCATTTTTTTTCTTCCGATTAACCCATGTCATATGACCTATCAGCCATGTGATTGTTTCAATTGTGATGTCACGCTAGGACAAGTACATGACGTCACAGACTTCAGCACTGGAGTCAAAATGGCGGCCTTTTACATTTCATGGTTGCATGAAATAATCGTTTTACAAGAAAAATCCTCAAATCTTGATTATGTGATAAAAAGGATCTTACACTCGTTTTCATTTCATATGAAATTTATGAAACTTGTCACAAATTTTTCATTTTAGCTGCCAGAGGCTCGCTAAATTGAAAAATTCTTAGACTCGTTTCATAAATCTCATATAAAATGGAAACTCATGTAAGATCCTATATATATTGGTACATGTACTGCAATATTATCGCCCACCCCTAAAAATTTGTGAACTTGTGTATAAAAACAAACAAAGAAGAAGTCAATGATGGATCAAAATATGCAAGGCCCTAAGAAGCAGGTTATTTATCTTAACTTATGTAACATTAATATTGTTTCACAGTAAGAATTGTTAGGTGTCTTTGCCTGCTCATAAAAGTTAATCCTTCCCTTCAGGAACTTTTCCTGTGAAGTAGCACTTGCTTAATAGGAAGACTAACGAACAATATAAAATTACTTTCTGCAAGTTATTTTTTTACTCATTACCAAGATTAATTCCACTTGTTTGTGAACCAGTATTTCTTAAGGTCATAGGAGTGTATTGCTAAACGGAAATAGGAAGTATATGCCTAGTTGAAAATCCAATGTAGGGAGACAGTATCATAATTTCCGTATATTCTAATGTTTAGTATTAAAACAATGAATATTGTATGCTTATTATTGACAGAACAGTGTGGTCTTTCAATATTAAAGTATTTTAAAGCAATCAAGGCATTAATTCAGTTGTTTTTTAATCAATGAGTCACATGTGTCCATTACTTCAGGAAACCGGCTACCTATACTATTTCGCTACTGTGAAGTTTTTCAAGAACGATTACTCTTACATGCAATTACTATGTGTATATGGTTTCATTATAAAATGTCAATTTTTAATTGTTAATAGATAATTGATTTTACACAATTTCAGCATTTATGAAATTGATATACATTAATACAATACTAATCTATGTCAGTATCATTTTTATTGACATTATATTGCAAAACATTGTGTGTTTCATTTTGTTTTCAAAATTCATTCCTTTTTACATAAATTTCCATTTAAAATCCTTAAAATTCTGACAACCTATATTTTTTTTGTGGCAGAAAATTTTCTTTACTTCAAAGCAATATAACTACAAAATTTGAAGAAATTCTACTGAGAAATGACAACACAATCCTATTACCTTAAGTCGGGTGACAGTTTTGGTATTTCGCACGAGTGCGAAGTATGAGGGTATAATTTGAAAAATGTGCAACCCATATTTTCACTGCAGTTAACATTTGCAATTTTTGGCTTCTGTCAATAGAGTGAATTGATGATGTATGTAATGCGGAGCATATCATATAAAGTAAAACTTTTGTGAAAAGTGAAAGGCGAAACTAAAACAACATTCTGGTGCCAGTAGCCCTCCACCACAGGGTCATAGGATCTAGGCCTACGTGGGGCAGTCACCAGTACTGGACGCAGGTCGGCGGTACTCTGGCTTTCCTCCACCACCAAAACCTGGCACATCCTTAAATGACCAAAGCTATTAATAGGACGTTAAACACAAACAAACTAATCCAAACCACAAGAAACCGACTATAGCAGTGGTGGGCAAAATTGACACTCAGCTGACATGTTTTTTACCAGTGAAGGTTGAAAATTTAGCTGGGTGAAAGTTTCTAGGAATACAGGAACTAGCAACATAGGAATTAAACAATGATAATAACAAGAGAATGAAAACAAACATGTGTTCATATTAAATCTGTGCCTTCTTTACTGCAGGGACACTGGTGCCTAGCAACAGTGGGACGGTGATCGTGAACAGCGAGGCGGGAACCATGGTGGAGTCCGAACTTGGAACCATGGTCATTAACGAGGACACGTCTGACGATGACTCAACAATGAAACGTATGTCTCAAACAGACTTATTTCCCTTGGCATCAAGTTATTGTAGATGTTGATATATAGATTGAAATAGAATGTGGTGCTCACTAACCAAACTGTATTTCATTTATAATATAACATCAAATATATGTGTTAGGAATATGACAGGTTTAGCGGTAGATATAGCTTCCTTGTATCATGGAATGGGGTGTTCACTAACTGGAGGTCATATATAATATAACATCAAATATATGTGTTTAGAATTTGACAGGTTTAGCCGTAGATATAATTATAAAGCTGCCTTGTATCATGGAATGGGGTGTTCACTAACTAGAGGTCATGTATAATATAACATCAAATATATGTGTTAAGAATTTGACAGGTTTAGCCGTAGATCTAGCTTCCTTGTATCATGGAATGGGGTGTTCACTAACTGGAGGTCATGTATAATATAACATCAAATATATGTGTTAAGAATTTGACAGGTTTAGCCGTAGATATAATTATAAAGCTGCCTTGTATCATGGAATGGGGTGTTCACTAACTAGAGGTCATGTATAATATATATGGTCGAATATATGTGTTAATAATTTGACAGGTTTAGCCGTAGATCTAGCTTCCTTGTATCATGGAATGGGGTGTTCACTAACTAGAGGTCATGTATTATATATATGGTCAAATATATGTGTTAAGAAGTAGGCATATTAAGCCGTAGATATAGTTACCAAGCATCATCATTGTTATACTGTATTAAAATGGAACTTTGTGGTATACAAAGATCAATGTTACCAATTCAAGATGCAATTCAATCCTGAAATTATACTTATTTTGACAAGAGATGTTTCTCTCTGTCCCAACACTGTATTATTGTAGTTGTGATGTTAGTTGTTAGCTCGCCTGGTCCGAAGGACTGTGACGAGTTCATGTCATACTGTGGTGTCAGTCATATTGCTTTTAGAGTCTTTTCTGAAACTGGGCATGATCAGGAGACAAACAATTGTGCTATCAGGAGTGGCCCCAGCTCCTGCCCAACCTCTGGGGACTTAGTTCCTGGGTCGTAACATTGAAAAAACTTTAATGATATTTGCTAGACATTAAAAGACTACACAATCATACTTTCAGAATTGCTCAAGGTTCAGGCCCTGCCCCTGGGGACTTAGTCATGACAAAAAAATTGTGAAAAGTCCCCAGCTTTTAAAATATATGTGGTTACATCAGGATTAATCTCAAGAGTATGCCCCCACCCTGAAGACTTCTTTGTAGTATTACTTTTTATATTAAAGAATATTTTGCTATGATTGCATGAATATCAAGGTGAGTGATACATTCCCTCTGGGCCTCTTGTTTATATTTCCTGTCTCACTGTAAGTACGGTCGTAGTTATGACGTGGTTGCTTATTTCAATTCCCACTTTCCACCGTGTGATTAATAAATTCTAATTTTTAAAATGAAAGGTAGAGGTTCCATCCATGGCTTATTGGAAGCTATATTTATATATGATGTGATTGACATTTTTACAGGAGTGGATAGTGACTATGCTAGCTCGCTAGTCAGAAAACATGACACAGGTTCTTCTTATCCATAACTTCTTTATATACATATGCATCCTCAAAATTCCTGGGGATACACTCACTTACGACACATATATAGCTGTTGTAAGGTTGTCTCCTTTCTTGGTGTCTTACCGATGACATATTTTAATGTTGCTGCATTGTTTCTTGTCCTCCTGACCACTCCGAGATGTCTTTCATTTTGTCTTTAAACTTTATACAATGTCCAACTTGTGTATTTTTACTTGTTACTAATTTCAATATGTTGCAGTTCTTTCTCTCAGATAATCCAAAGTATTCACTAACCGTTCTTGTGCATCCGAAGTATTCTCTACTATTGATTCAATGTACGGTTTTGCCGTCAACTTTTCTCTTACATGCATCAGACGCTCACATTGAACAGAATTAATTCCTTCTCAGTTGTCTTTATAACTACAATATCCTGGAATATAATAAAACACCCTGGAAATCTAAGGGCTCTGTTCTTGACACTCAGCATCTTTATCCCTGCACACGCGTCAACATCAACCAGACTAATCACTAGGTCCTTTGAAGATGAATGAGGAGCGAAATCCAATTTCAAAGACGGTCAATTTTACCGTTACACTTCTGCATGATTCCTTAGCTCTTCATTAAAGACATCAAACTAGCCTACTTGTATCACCTGCAAGGTGTTGCTTAACTCATTTACCACTGAAATTTCTTAATGAACTATTCCAGCCTTTGAATTGGATGAGTTCAAATGTGTCTTCAGGGGTGAATGAGTTAAAGAGCCTTCAATTTTGTCATTTTTAGCTCACCTACCCGAAGGGCAAGTGATTTTATGTCATGGTGGGGCGTCTGTCGTCCAACCGTCCCTCCGTCCTCGTCGTAACTTTTCCTTTAAACAACTTCTTCTGAAGGACAGGCCTAGAGTCATGATATTTGGCTGAAAGCTTTGTTTGGTAAAAGCCCGACAAAGTTTGAGAACTAAAATGACCTTGACCTACTTTCAAGGTCACAGGGGTCAAATATGTCAAAAACTTCAAACGACTTCCTCTGAAGAATTAAAAGGTATAGAATCTTCATATTTGGCTGATGGCTTCCTAGGATGGAGCCCAACAAAGTTTGAGGATGAAAATGACCTTGACCTTCTTTCAAGGTTACAGGGGTCAAATGAGTCAAACACTTCAAACGAATTCTTCGGAAGAACTGGAAGGTATAGAATCTTTATATTTGGCTGGTGGCTTCCTGGGATAGAGCCTGACAATGTTTGAAAACGAAAATGACCTTTACCTACTTTCAAGGTCACAGGAGTCAGATATGTCTAATGCTTAAAACGACTTCTTCTGAAGACCTGAAAGTTTTAGAACCTAAATATTTGGCTTGTGGCTTCCTGGGAAAGACCCCAACAAAGTTTGAGAATGAAAATGACCTTGACCTACTTTTAAGATCACAGGTGTCAAATATGTCAATTGCTTCAAACGACATCTTCTGAAGAACTGGAAGGTATAGAACCTTAATATTTGGTTGGTTATTTCCTGGGAAAGAGCCAAAAAAAGTTTGCAAATGAAAATGACCTTGACTTACTTTCAAGGTCACAGCGTTCAAATATGTCAAACGGTTCAAACTACTTCTTCTGAAGAATTAAAAGGCATAACATTATAATATTTGGCTGGTGACTTCCTGGGATAGAGCTCACCAAAGTTTGCAAATGAAAATGACCTCAACCTACTTTAGAGGTCACAGAGGTCAACAACATTATAAAGGATTTATTCTTAAGAACTAAAAGAAATGGATTCATAAGATTTGGCTGGTAGCTTTTTGGAATAGAGCTGACCTATTTGAGAAGAAAAATGACATTGACCTACTTTCAAGGTCACAGAAAAAAAATATGTCAAGCAACTTCTGAAGAAGAATCAAAAAGCATAGAATCTTATAATAATATTTTGCTGATAGTTTCAACAGATGGAGCTAACAAAGTTTGCGAGGGAAATATTTTTAGTGCAATATGATATTTAATGAGAATATTTTGCTATGACTGCTTAAATAATCAGGTGAGCAAATCAGGCCCTCTTGGGCCTCTTGTATTATCCAGGAATGCAGAGAAGATATGTGTATCGAAAGTAGAACCTTGAATTTCAAGGATTGTATTTACATTAATCCACATAGTCTTATTCAATGGTCAATTGGAGCATGTCACCTTATATTATTTGTCAAGTCTTGATAATTTAGAGGTTAACAATGCATTTCATCAACTCAACCAGCTATTCTAATGTTACAGATTAACTTCCCTCTCTTTTCTTGTTTCTGTCATTTTACTGTTCATAATTATGTATAATAATGTTGTGTGTCATTGATAAATCTTTTCCACCAGAGTGATTGGGGTAATATCTGAAAAACTAATTTCATTTCAATTACTGTGCTGTATATTAGGAAAATTTAGCCTTTCACTAATAAAATCCATATCTATTCAGTGTTAATTTCGTCTTTTATGCATATTTAATATTTGCTGCTATGATAAGTTTGTCTTAAGTTCACAGGGCAAACCTTTTCTTACTAAAAGCGCTGATTCTTGTTTGTCATATATTTATGTTGAGGTGTATACATTATCAAAGCAAAAATGTCAAGAGGAAGTGTATTAATGTTGGACAGAAATATTTTGGACATTTTGTGCAAATTACAAAAAAAAGTATCATTCTGTAAGAAATAGGTTGTACTATAATTTGTCAATACATGTTTTAGAATTTGAATTTTTTGTTTTAATATATTATTAATCATATTGCTAACTTTCACTGTTCATCACAAGCTTACTAAAACATGTTTAAACTTTTCATTGATGGCTATGCAGGACATGACACCGATCAAGGGGGGAAAGATAAATATCGGCCGGCCTACCTTGATCACTTTGAGAAGAAAGAACAGGACAAGACTCCCCCCGTGACCCGCCCGTCAACTCAGGCTCTACCTCCCCTCCAGTCACCATTATCACAGCCCAAACAGGTCACGCCTCCACACTACTTTCAACGGTCCTTCATAGATGGAGATTTTGAATTTGTAAGTAATGCTGTCAAAATATAAAATATGCACACATATTGATTACCAGGTAGCCCGAGATTCCTGTGACATTCTATTACTTACACAACCCTTTAAAATTCAGTTTACTTTGCTATACACAAACATTGGGCTAACACTCACACCAAACAGTTTGTTGGTCACATGAGCTTAAAAAATCGGTAGAGATGATGAGAAAAAAATGATTGATTTTTTTTGCATTTTTTACACGCCACTGAAAATGAAGTTTGAAAATTAAATGATTGTTTTTTTGCAGATATGTCAGAATTATGAGAACAATTCATAACGTTTAATAAACTGTATACCGGGAAATTTTCACCAGTCAAACTTTCGCAATTAGCCGGTAAAATCACAAGTTCGCTTTTTCTAATTTTGCCTTCCACATTTAATTACTTGGTATATTACGTTGTTTGCTAATGTTGTCAAGATAATTAAGTATGCCCTCATTACGGTGGGCAAAAAGGCGAAAATTACACTGAAGTGAAAATGTCCTTGTATACACTATGTCAGAATTTTAGAACAATAAGTAATATAACAATAAACCAACCTAAGGCATTTATTTCATTGTCTGTTTTTACAGTTACGAAACCTAGCTTACGAAGATTTAGAGAAACGGTTGTCAGATTTAGATCCTGAAATGGAACGTGAAATTGACGAGTTACGTGCAAGGTACCAAGCGAAGCGTCAACCAATCCTTGAGGCGATAGATGCCAAGAAAAAACGACAGAATAATTTTTGAAAAACGAGATTAGGAAATGTTTAATTTACAAAACTTGTGCTGACTGACCTGGCCTTTATCGACGACTGTGTCGGGTGTTAGTCATGTGTCTTTCGGCATCCAGTAGAGGCAGTCTTGGATATATAGCTCTGTGCCCCTGGGCCTTCGGTGGAGACTTTCATGGGTGTTAACGGTGTGTTTCCACGTCTTCAACAGAGATCGCCTCAGACGGATGTGTCGGCTGAAGAAAGGATGCTTGGCAATCAGTTGAATGATTAAAATGGTGTTCAGCTTAGATTTATTTTGTTGATAGCTCAGAATCAACAGTAATAACAGTAAACGTGTCATTAATTTGACAACCTGGACTCTCATATTTCCAGAAAGTCTTTTGCAAACGGTATGTTTGAGATCACTTGCAAAGAACTTTTGGAAATTCAAAATGATTTTAGTTTGAATATACATTATGATATCCTATTTATTGCGACACAATGGCCTTGATATACAACTTTTAGATTTCGTTTACCTGAATGACAGTCGCAAAGTTAAAGTGAAAATCTACAATGCTTTGAAAACTTTGGGTCCTCGTCATTTTATCACTTAAATGCACCAAGAGCATAGCTTATGTATTGTCAGCTTAACATTTAAGTTATTGACTTTAATACATAGAGTTTGTCTGTAACTGAGCTCAGACAGATTTCAACTGTCTCCTCTTTGAAACATGTAGGTGTGTAAGGCCTGGAGTTTGAGCTAGGCGTTGTTGTAATGGCATGGTCCTACTTTCAGTTCCTGTCCAGTATATTATTGTGCAGTGTGCTCATCTTCTTGTTTCGATAAAAACAAATGTTTACAATTGCAAAAATGTGGTTGTTAAACTTCGCTATAGATATTTCCAACCATTGTCTTTAAATGTATACTTGACAATTCTTGTCCCTGTTGCCCAATATACCGGACAAGATTTCTGTACATCCTTCCCTGTCGTCTAGTATGGACAAGATTTTGAGTACTCTTTTCTAGTAAGCTGGAAAGGATTTTGAATATTCCCATTCCAGTGGTCTTGCTAGATGGACAATTTTTTCCTGTTATCTGGTATGGTGGACAAGTATTCTGGTTCTTCATTATAGTATACTGAATAGGATTTTGAATATCTCCATCCATATTGTCTAGCATACTGGGCACATTGAATATTCCTATCTGTTTAATAGCTATACATACTGGTCAATATTTCAGTCACACACACCCTCCCCCGTAAGCTGGACAGGAATTTGAGTATGCCCATCCCTGTTGTCTAGTATGCTAGTGTGTGGTATGTACAATTCTTTAAAATGTCAGAAATTTAATAGGTCAATTAAAATAACCTTACTGCTCTATATCTTTCATATATTGAAATATTGCAAATTGAAAGATTAATTAGCGGGGACCCATTTTTAAAGACAAAGTAAATTAATGTTGAATTTTACAGTTTCGTATTTAGGTTCATTTCTAGAAAACCAGAAGTGAAACATTTCTTTCAGTTTTCATGATTATAACACTTGAAAGATTTTCGTTTCAAACTAAACTAATATGTTTGTTTTTGAGAGAACTATTTAAATGTTACAAGGACTGATGTTTTAATAGATCCTTTATATTAAAAACTTTTAAGCTTTCTTTTTGACACATTTTGAGATTAGTTTCTTACAGTTTTAAGTTTATTTTGAACCGATATAGAGAGTATTGAGTCAAAGATTATTTTATAGAAAGTTGTTGATGAACTGGTGTAAAAATTATTAATATACAACTGCCTTACAGAATTGTGAATGTGAGCAATCAGCAATGAATATCAGTTAAAGATTGTATAAAATGTAAATTTAAAGAATTCTATTGAAACTATAGTGAGAACTTATTTTACAGCTACAATATTAATTGTGTTTTATATCATTTATGTATGTTGAACTACCAGCTTATTGCTTTTAATACTTTTACTTGTCCCAAAATTCTTCAACAAGATTAAAGATAAAAATTATACCATCTCAGAAGAAAGATAACATCAGTATTTCTTTGAATTTAATGCGATAACGTCTTTATAATTTCTGTTGTGTAAAAGAAAGTTTTTAAAAATTGCATGCAAGTAATTTTCATCATTCAAAAGGGGAAAAAAAGTGTTATTTTTTAATTTAACATTTTTTTTAAACATTATTTTCATCTTCATGTAATTTCAATTTTGGAGACAAATTATTTTCAAAATTGTGCATGATTTCTTTTCCCCTTACATTTCAAATTAATTTCAAAAAGCGGAAACAAATGTGTAAAGTTGTTGAAAGTGGAGAATCAGTGTTGGGACTAGCTATATATGCTAAAGAGCATATTCTTGTAAGACACATTTATTGCAGTGATCTTTTTCTCTTGGTGATATACCTGATTGGATTGAACTTGATTGTTTCTTTCGATGATGGAACTTTGCTAATGTATCTGTTGTAGATTGGCATTTTGTTATAGCACTGTCTTCCTGATCCTCGAAAATCCAGGGGTTATACTCACGTTCGTTCTCCGCACCCCTAAAATATGTCATGACAAAATCAAAGGTACACGCTATTTGATTGGTTTCGGGTAAGAATATATGACTAATTGATAGTCGACTGATACCTGTCCTTTGAAGATTACAGAGGATTGATACCCAACTTCAAAGAAAGTCAATTTTAACGTTACTCTTTGGTGTGATTGTTTTGATGTTTTTCAAAGGATCAAACTTATCTTTCTATCATAATTAATACTAATTCTAGGTTCCTAAATACCGCTTTATCACAACCTAGTGACTCGAACCCGGTCACGAACCCGGTCACGAGCCCGGCGTCCGACCACTAGACTTCTGTGTCTCATCCAAAAGTGGTGCAGGCAAAACCTTTAAATATTTGTCATGACATATTTCAATGGTGCAGAAAATGTAACGGAGCAAAACCTCTTGAATTTTGAGGATGTCTCCCTGTATATATTTTGTTGATAGGGAAGAACTAAGTTATGATAGTTTGGTGTAGATATTTCTGTTATGTAATTCTATTGGACCACACAGCCAAGGATATGTTGATCATTTAGTGTCATAGTTTGTCTGCTTGAGGTAATATTTCGTAAGTGGATTGTAAAAATACACAACTAAATATTAACAAAAATGGGGTATCATCAAATGACCACACTGCCATGGGCTTTGATGATTTATTACCACGGTTTGTCTGTTCGAAGTAACGTTTCTTCAGTGTAAGATTGTAAAAACACACTACCAAATAAGGATATTGATATTCGTGAAATTTGGGCATCATATATAGTGTTATCATTGTTTTATGTTTGTTACAGAAATGTAACTAGGTATTTTTTTATTTTATTTTTAATCACTGGCTAGAAAAAACAGTATACACCAGACCATCTTGCTAGATAATGATACAGACTTCAATAATGTTGTCAAATGAATTTTTACCACGATACTTTAATACTGAGATATTTTAGAAATAAACATTCACCACATATTTTACTCAAACATTCTCCGAAAGCTTTTTGAAATATTCAGAATAAGAAATTTCATTCAAAATAAGGCTTACAATTTTGGTGTTAGAATGTTTCAAAATCGTTTTCATGATTTCATTTGAATTTGTTGTTTCGATGTACTGCTTACGAAAATGTTTAATTTTGTTCACTAACTGGTTTCTCCGGTGAATTCTTCATAGTCTAGCGCACATGGCTGGTTTTGCAATAAAACGTTAAACAGTAGTAATAAAGGGATTTATTATTTACCTGCTGAACATCATTCATCTATTGTAGTTTACAGTAAAACCATGTTAACTGTCCCTCCTCACTCATTGACTCCATAGTGTGGTCACAATCTGCATAATCTTGTGGTTTTCCTTCCAAATATTTGCTAACCTCTGCCAAACACGAACTTTAAATTGTGTGAATACAAACTTTTAATTGTGTGAAGCAAATTCATTTTCACGCTAATTTGTATAAGAATCGCTTGCAAAATCAAAGTATCATGCGAGCAGTTATCAGTACATAATTAAAGACTAATCCGTTCAATTTGTGTGCTTGGAAATAAGAAATATATGTGATCTTCAGTCAGAATTTTGTTAGACCTGACAAGTTCAGGTTAAGCACATGCGTCTGGTTATCTACATGCGTTATTTTCTGTTATTAAACAAGAGTTTTGTTTACATTGCCTTGTTTACTGGCAACAGTGCAGGATTGAAAAATCCGAAATATCATCTTTTCTTGAAAAAAGACTTTTGATATACAAACAAAAAATGGCTTTCATTGGATACTGGTCCTTCTAATCAAAATATGTTAGTGGATGGTTGGATTATAGTAAAGATCAAAAGAAGCTAGGGTTTATATATTGTGTAATAAAATAAGTACATACACCTTTACACCATGTTAGTAGGTAGGGGTAAATCTCACGATAATCGAATCTCTGATAATTATATGCCAATGTTCAGTCTGGCCAATGATCTGTTTTTATGCATGATATATGTAAAATAGGACATTTATAGAATCTGTTTTATTAAATGTTCTTTTGATGATTTTAGTATTAGATTTGATTGGACCCTTTTATTAATACTCGTTTGGTTTGAATGAAATGCTGAAAGTTTAGTGACCTGATCATAGAGTCAATTTTAAGTTTTGTTCTTATTATATGTTTATTGTAATAATGAAAATGCATATTTTTTGTTCATACATTTAGTCCATTGTCATGAATTTTATTGAAGAATTTAAATCAAGGATTGAAATTATGGATTCTTAGCTTTCGTGTGTGTAAGAAAGAGTGAGGTACTTGTGGAAGAGAATGCCTGTTGTTATAAGCTGGTGTGTTGTATTGAAGTAAATATATGTTACACTAAAAAAAAAATGAAAATTTTATTTTTGCATAAATTAAAATATTTGACCTAAATTTGATGATGGTATCACAGCTACTATGGTATATTTTAGTTAGCCCACCAATAACTTTGTATCTTTTTCAAAAAGAAACAATTGATTTGTGGCACAGATATTTACTTTCCTGATGAGCGTTTCGTTTACCAATGTAAATGTATTGTCAATGAAAATTAAAACTTATGAAGAATTTTGATTATTTTTGAAATGTTGAGATGTCCCGGAAAATACATGTATTTATAAAGCGTAATAAAGAGTACTGGAACAGTTCTATTACAATCAGAGGGAACAATTGATATAAAAAATAATGAACAAAGTACCATAATATCCACAGGACCAACTTATGTCTATAACTACATTGTCAAATTCCAAATGTTCTGTTCTCAAAACATACATATTCTTTCGCTTGAGTTCGAGGATGACATACCTAGTACAATGAGTAGACGTAAATCAATATGAGAGACATATCGAACATCACAAGTAGATAACACTTCGTCTACGTACTAAACATCGCGATCTGCTGACGTTTTGTCTCGGTAGATAAAATCACGTTTCTATATAATATGCATAATACTCATGATTGACGGATTGTTCGTCCTTGCACCAAATGTTACGATTTGTTGAAATTTTATATATGTACCAATCATCATGATTGGCTGACATTTTGTTAAAATACTAAATATCTGTTTTGATTGGTTGACGTTTTCTCTAGATACTAATCATCGGTTTTGATTGGCTGAATTTAAATATGATAGTAATCTGTGAAATTGTTGTCAGGTGTGATCTCAGGTTAATATATGCATACCTGTTAGAATGTCACCTGTGTGATTGAACAGGTGACGTGTCATCTATACCTGGGAGGTGAACATTTACGCGACGTCTTCTGTTTAACCCTCACTTAACCCTAGGTAACTTGAGTAGACTCTTCCATCATTTATAATGGATGAGTCCATTATTGTATACAGCAGTGATAGGTAGTTTTGATAATTCTCACTCTTTCAATAAATTATTAAAATATAAATACTACGTATAAAAGTATGTGAATATTGTTAGCAAGTAAATTTTGATGAAATATTATTCTGGCCATAAATGCTTATATTCTGTCTAGAGAGATATTTATGACATACAAACATAAGAATGATATTACAGATGAAATAGGTGTAGTCTGGCTATTTTTATCAAACAAATAGCAGTACAGCGGGAAAATTGCGATTCTAGAGACACTTAATTATCACAGAAAATAAAAATTGTGAAGAATCTTTCTTATAAATGCTTAAAAAAGGAACATCGTTCTTAAGTACAGTGATCAGCCAATGTTTTGCCTGCTATCAGTGTTTTGATAAGATGGTTCCACCGTTGGCGAGACAGTTTCTCGCTGGCTGTATTGACGAGGATTGAGAGTGTATGTTGGTAATATTATGCCTGTGTATGTGTATTGCAATATTATTGTACAGTGTTAAGGTAAATAGAGTATTATTATTACAGATTATTTATTAGAAACTTGCTCTCAAGTTACCTTTGACCCATGTTTTGGTCAAATCACATAATTGATGCATGTTGGCCAAACGTGTTCAAGGTTGATAACTTATTGTACATTGGGTCATGTTGAAAAGGATCTTAAGCTAGCTTTACGATCATTTAAACTTTTATAAGTTTCAGTTTTTTATTTTCTGCTTTTTCATGGATTCTCATAAAACGATAATAGTCCTGGGATATTAAAAAGAATAGACAGGACACAATTTGTATCTGTTTGAGTTAAAACAGGTAATTCATTTAAAAGTAAGTTTATTCAAAATTCTTAAAAAGCTGCTGCACATCGTAAAAGCTCTAATTGGGAAAACTTGGTAATCAATTTGTCAATATCACAGACAGCTTTGTAAGGTATTGCAATACACATTTTAAACCTCAGAAATAGTTTAATTATACAATTGTAATGCCCCTTATAAAACTCAATTCGCTATCCTCAATTCGCTATCCATTTACTGGTTCATTGGATGTTAACATTGTAAGATTGACACATTTAATAAATTCAAACTTTTAAGTGATTAAGTTTGATTTCAGATTCAAATGTATATAATATACATACTAGGTGAACAGTTGTCACAGATAGCAAGGATTGTTGCCATATTAACTAAAGTTATGTGAGGAATATGTTCACAGTAGAAAAGATAGTGTGTTTTTATTGTATTACGTGCCGGTGAAAACGTTATTTTGTGATAAGAGCTGTACAGGTCATTGTGATGGACCTACCACATGTTTTAAAACTGACAGAGAAAAATCAGTCGAATTAATTTTCCAATTTATACA